CTTTACGCAACATATTAACATGCCATATTCTGTATTCCATAGGACCTACTGACTCTGAACTGCTTTGTATATTGACAATATGCAACATATTTGTCATGCCTTATTTGTACATGCTTAACACAACATATTAACATGCCATATTCTGTATTCCATAGGACCTACTGACTCTGTGAACTGCTTTGTATATTGACAATATGCAACATATTCGTCATGCCTTATTTGTACATGCTTTACACAAATCATTAACATGCCATATTCTATATTCCATAGGACCTACTGACTCTGAACTGCTTTGTATATTGACAATATGCAACATATTCGTCATGCCTTATTTGTACATGCTTAACACAACATATTAACATACCATATTCTGTATTCCATAGGACCTACTGACTCTGAACTGCTTTGTATATTGACAGTATGCAACATATTCGTCATGCCTTATTTGTACATGCTTAACACAACTCATTAACATGCCATATTCTGTTTTCCATAGGACCTACTGACTCTGAACTGCTTTGTATATTGACAGTATGCAACATATTCGTCATGCCTTATTTGTACATGCTTAACACAACTCATTAACATGCCATATTCTGTTTTCCATAGGACCTACTGACTCTGAACTGCTTTGTATATTGACAATATGCAACATATTCGTCATGCCTTATTTGTACATGCTTAACACAACATATTAACATACCATATTCTGTATTCCATAGGACCTACTGACTCTGAACTGCTTTGTATATTGACAGTATGCAACATATTCGTCATGCCTTATTTGTACATGCTTAACACAACTCATTAACATGCCATATTCTGTTTTCCATAGGACCTACTGACTCTGAACTGCTTTGTATATTGACAATATGCAACATATTCGTCATGCGTACATGCTAAACACAAATCATTAACATACCATATTCTGTATTCCATAGGACCTACTGACTCTGAACTGCTTTGTATATTGACAATATGCAACATATTCGTCATGCCTTATTTGTACATGCTTAACACAAATCATTAACATGCCATATTCTGTATTCCATAGGACCTACTGACTCTGAACTGCTTTGTATATTGACAATATGCAACATATTCGTCAAGCCTTATTTGTACATGCTTTACACAAATCATTAACATACCATATTCTGTATTCCATAGGACCTACTGACTCTGAACTGCTTTGTATATTGACAATATGCAACATATTCGTCATGCCTTATTTGTACATGCTTAACACAAATCATTAACATACCATATTCTGTTTTCCATAGGACCTACTGACTCTGAACTGCCTTGTATATTGACAATATGCAACATATTCATCATGCCTTATTTGTACATGCTTAACACAAATCATTAACATGCCATATTCTGTTTTCCATAGGACCTACTGACTCTGAACTGCTTTGTATATTGACAATATGCAACATATTCATCATGCCTTATTTGTACATGCTTAACACAAATCATTAACATGCCATATTCTGTTTTCCATAGGACCTACTGACTCTGAACTGCTTTGTATATTGACAATATGCAACATATTCGTCATGCCTTATTTGTACATGCTTAACACAAATCATTAACATGCCATATTCTGTATTCCATAGGACCTACTGACTCTGAACTGCTTTGTATATTGACAATATGCAACATATTCGTCATGCCTTATTTGTACATGCTTAACACAAATCATTAACATGCCATATTCTGTATTCCATAGGACCTACTGACTCTGAACTGCCTTGTATATTGACAATATGCAACATATTCGTCATGCCTTATTTGTACATGCTTAACACAACATATTAACATACCATATTCTGTTTTCCATAGGACCTACTGACTCTGAACTGCTTTGTATATTGACAATATGCAACATATTTGTCATGCCTTATTTGTACATGCTTAACACAACATATTAACATACCATATTCTGTTTTCCATAGGACCTACTGACTCTGAACTGCCTTGTATATTGACAATATGCAACATATTCGTCATGCCTTATTTGTACATGCTTAACACAACATATTAACATACCATATTCTGTTTTCCATAGGACCTACTGACTCTGAACTGCTTTGTATATTGACAATATGCAACATATTTGTCATGCCTTATTTGTACATGCTTAACACAACATATTAACATACCATATTCTGTTTTCCATAGGACCTACTGACTCTGAACTGCTTTGTATATTGACAGTATGCAACATATTCGTCATGCGTACATGCTAAACACAAATCATTAACATACCATATTCTGTATTCCATAGGACCTACTGACTCTGAACTGCTTTGTATATTGACAATATGCAACATATTTGTCATGCCTTATTTGTACATGCTTAACACAACATATTAACATACCATATTCTGTTTTCCATAGGACCTACTGACTCTGAACTGCTTTGTATATTGACAATATGCAACATATTTGTCATGCCTTATTTGTACATGCTTAACACAACATATTAACATACCATATTCTGTTTTCCATAGGACCTACTGACTCTGAACTGCTTTGTATATTGACAATATGCAACATATTTGTCATGCCTTATTTGTACATGCTTAACACAACATATTAACATACCATATTCTGTTTTCCATAGGACCTACTGACTCTGAACTGCTTTGTATATTGACAATATGCAACATATTTGTCATGCCTTATTTGTACATGCTTAACACAACATATTAACATACCATATTCTGTTTTCCATAGGACCTACTGACTCTGAACTGCTTTGTATATTGACAATATGCAACATATTTGTCATGCTTTATTTGTACATGCTTAACACAAATCATTAACATGCCATATTCTGTTTTCCATAGGACCTACTGACTCTGAACTGCTTTGTATATTGACAATATGCAACATATTCGTCATGCCTTATTTGTACATGCTTAACACAAATCATTAACATGCCATATTCTGTATTCCATAGGACCTACTGACTCTGAACTGCCTTGTATATTGACAATATGCAACATATTCGTCATGCCTTATTTGTACATGCTTTACACAAATCATTAACATGCCATATTCTGTATTCCATAGGACCTACTGACTCTGAACTGCTTTGTATATTGACAGTATGCAACATATTCGTCATGCCTTATTTGTACATGCTTAACACAACATATTAACATACCATATTCTGTATTCCATAGGACCTACTGACTGAACTGCTTTGTATATTGACAATATGCAACATATTCGTCATGCCTTATTTGTACATGCTTAACACAACTCATTAACATGCCATATTCTGTATTCCATTGGACCTACTGACTCTGAACTGCTTTGTATATTGACAATATGCAACATATTCGTCATGCCTTATTTGTACATGCTTAACACAACATATTAACATGCCATATTCTGTATTCCATAGGACCTACTGACTCTGAACTGCCTTGTATATTGACAATATGCAACATATTCGTCATGCCTTATTTGTACATGCTTAACACAACATATTAACATACCATATTCTGTATTCCATAGGACCTACTGACTCTGAACTGCCTTGTATATTGACAATATGCAACATATTCGTCATGCCTTATTTGTACATGCTTAACACAACATATTAACATACCATATTCTGTATTCCATAGGACCTACTGACTCTGAACTGCTTTGTATATTGACAATATGCAACATATTCGTCATGCCTTATTTGTACATGCTTAACACAACATATTAACATGCCATATTCTGTATTCCATAGGACCTACTGACTCTGAACTGCCTTGTATATTGACAATATGCAACATATTCGTCATGCCTTATTTGTACATGCTTAACACAACATATTAACATGCCATATTCTGTATTCCATAGGACCTACTGACTCTGAACTGCTTTGTATATTGACAATATGCAACATATTCATCATGCCTTATTTGTACATGCTTAACACAACATATTAACATGCCATATTCTGTATTCCATAGGACCTACTGACTCTGAACTGCCTTGTATATTGACAATATGCAACATATTCGTCATGCCTTATTTGTACATGCTTAACACAACATATTAACATGCCATATTCTGTATTCCATAGGACCTACTGACTCTGAACTGCCTTGTATATTGACAATATGCAACATATTCGTCATGCCTTATTTGTACATGCTTAACACAACATATTAACATGCCATATTCTGTATTCCATAGGACCTACTGACTCTGAACTGCTTTGTATATTGACAATATGCAACATATTCGTCATGCCTTATTTGTACATGCTTTACACAAATCATTAACATGCCATATTCTGTATTCCATAGGACCTACTGGCTCTGAACTGCCTTGTATATTGACAGTATGCAACATATTCGTCATGCCATATTTGTACATGCTTTACGCAACATATTAACATGCCATATTCTGTATTCCATAGGACCTACTGACTCTGAACTGCTTTGTATATTGACAGTATGCAACATATTCGTCATGCCTTATTTGTACATGCTTTACACAAATCATTAACATGCCATATTCTGTATTCCATAGGACCTACTGACTCTGAACTGCCTTGTATATTGACAATATGCAACATATTCGTCATGCCTTATTTGTACATGCTTAACACAACATATTAACATACCATATTCTGTATTCCATAGGACCTACTGACTCTGAACTGCTTTGTATATTGACAGTATGCAACATATTCGTCATGCCTTATTTGTACATGCTTAACACAACATATTAACATGCCATATTCTGTATTCCATAGGACCTACTGACTCTGAACTGCTTTGTATATTGACAATATGCAACATATTCGTCATGCCTTATTTGTACATGCTTAACACAACTAATTAACATACCATATTCTGTATTCCATAGGACCTACTGACTCTGAACTGCTTTGTATATTGACAATATGCAACATATTCGTCATGCCTTATTTGTACATGCTTAACACAACATATTAACATACCATATTCTGTTTTCCATAGGACCTACTGACTCTGAATTGTTTGAAGATTCTGATGTGGAAGATGGAGAAAGCTCTGAGTTGGACTTGTCCAGTGACTCTGATAGAAATGCCAAGACTAATACTCTAGGGTAAGCCACAATGTCATAACAAGCATATTTGTTTATGCCAAGACTAACACTTTAGGGTAAGCCACAATATCATAACTAGCATATTTGTTTATGCCAAGACTAACACTTTAGGGTAAGCCACAATGTCATAACAAGCATATTTGTTTATGCCAAGACTAACACTTTAGGGTAAGCCACAATGTCATAACTAGCATATTTGTTTATGCCAAGACTAACACTTTAGGGTAAGCCACAATGTCATAACTAGCATATTTGTTTATGCCAAGACTAACACTTTAGGGTAAGCCACAATGTCATAACTAGCATATTTGTTTATGTCAAGACTAACACTTTAGGGTAAGCCACAATGACATAACTAGCATATTTGTTTATGCCAAGACTAACACTTTAGGGTAAGCCACAATGTCATAACAAGCATATTTGTTTATGCCAAGACTAACACTTTAGGGTAAGCCACAATGTCATAACAAGCATATTTGTTTATGCCAAGACTAACACTTTAGGGTAAGCCACAATGTCATAACAAGCATATTTGTTTATGCCAAGACTAACACTTTAGGGTAAGCCACAATGTCATAACAAGCATATTTGTTTATGCCAAGACTAACACTTTAGGGTAAGCCACAATGTCATAACAAGCATATTTGTTTATGTCAAGACTAACACTTTAGGGTAAGCCACAATGTCATAACAAGCATATTTGTTTATGCCAAGACTAACACTTTAGGGTAAGCCACAATGTCATAACAAGCATATTTGTTTATGCCAAGACTAACACTTTAGGGTAAGCCACAATGTCATAACAAGCATATTTGTTTATGTCAAGACTAACACTTTAGGGTAAGCCACAATGTCATAACAAGCATATTTGTTTATGCCAAGACTAACACTTTAGGGTAAGCCACAATGTCATAACAAGCATATTTGTTTATGCCAAGACTAACACTTTAGGGTAAGCCACAATGTCATAACAAGCATATTTGTTTACGCCAAGACTAACACTTTAGGGTAAGCCACAATGTCATAACTAGCATATTTGTTTATGCCAAGACTAACACTTTAGGGTAAGCCACAATGTCATAACAAGCATATTTGTTTATGCCAAGACTAACACTTTAGGGTAAGCCACAATGTCATAACAAGCATATTTGTTTATGCCAAGACTAACACTTTAGGGTAAGCCACAATGTCATAACAAGCATATTTGTTTATGCCAAGACTAACACTTTAGGGTAAGCCACAATGTCATAACAAGCATATTTGTTTATGCCAAGACTAACACTTTAGGGTAAGCCACAATGTCATAACAAGCATATTTGTTTACGCCAAGACTAACACTTTAGGGTAAGCCACAATGTCATAACTAGCATATTTGTTTATGCCAAGACTAACACTTTAGGGTAAGCCACAATGTCATAACAAGCATATTTGTTTATGCCAAGACTAACACTTTAGGGTAAGCCACAATGTCATAACAAGCATATTTGTTTATGTCAAGACTAACACTTTAGGGTAAGCCACAATGTCATAACAAGCATATTTGTTTATGCCAAGACTAACACTTTAGGGTAAGCCACAATGTCATAACAAGCATATTTGTTTATGCCAAGACTAACACTTTAGGGTAAGCCACAATGTCATAACTAGCATATTTGTTTATGCCAAGACTAACACTTTAGGGTAAGCCACAATGTCATAACAAGCATATTTGTTTATGCCAAGACTAACACTTTAGGGTAAGCCACAATGTCATAACTAGCATATTTGTTTATGCCAAGACTAACACTTTAGGGTAAGCCACAATGTCATAACAAGCATATTTGTTTATGCCAAGACTAACACCCCAAGGTAAGTGCAATTTCATAACAAGCATATTTGTTTATGCCATAACTAACTCCCATAAGCATACCTGCCAACCTAAGACCAAAATTTTGCGGTAGATTTTTTTAAAAATGCTGTATTTTTGCGGTAGATTTTTTCAAAATACGGTAGTTTTGCGGTATTTTTCAACAAAATTGCGGTAGTTTTTGCGGTAGATTTTTAAAAAAAAACGGTAGTTTTTGCGGTAGATTTAAAAAAACGGTAGTTTTTGCGGTAGATTTTAAAAAACGGTAGTTTTTGCGGTAGATTTTAAAAAATACGGTAGTTTTTGCGGTAGATTTTTAAAATATACTGTAGTTTCAGAGGTTTGGGGTAGATTTTTGAAAAAAGTGTAATTTTGCGGTAGAAATTTGAAAAAAGCGGTAGTTTTGCGGAAGATTTAGAAAAAATGCGGTAGTTTTTACGGTAGTTATTTGAAAAACCGGTAGTTTTGCGAAAGATTCTGAAAAAATGCGGTAGTTTTACGGTAGATTTTGAAAAAATGCGGTAGTTTTTTGAAAAACCGGTAGTTTGCGGAAAATTTTGAAAAAATGTGGTATTTTTACGGTAGATTTTGAAAATTGCGGTAGTTTTTACGGTAATATTTAAAAAAAACGGTACTTTTTCGGAAGATTTTGAAAAAATGCGGTCCTTTTTACGGTAATTTTTTGAAAAACTGGTACTTTTGCGGAAGATTTGCCAAAATGCGGTATTTTTCGGTAGATTTTGAAAAAATGCGGTAGTTAAACCTAATTATACAATGCGGTTTTCTATATTAATACAATGTTTACGTGGTCATATTGTTTTTGTTATTGTGAATACATATTTTACTGCAAGAGTGCTTTTGATAATTACAGTTTGTAAAGCAGAACTACCACCTGAGAATTATACGAAACTATTATTTTCAAGAAAAATAGATACTACACACTTTTTATTCTTCATTTACCATGCCTACAATGGACTGACAGCAACTTTGGATTTTAATGTTTCAGCAAAATGTACTGTACATGTATATGAATACAACTCTTTTACAACTCTTTTACAATAAATCTAGATTGATTCAAAATACGAACACAATATTCATATCTCCACTTTTATTCACCTTCTAACCAGTTTTTTTTAGATTTCAGGATGTTTGGAAATACCAATGAAACATTTACTGAAATACAAATTTGCACGTTTTTACTCACCATCTTAGATGATCTATCACTTTAACGAATTGAAATGACAGACATAATATTCATATAACATTGGAATCATATGGTATTAAATATTGATTTGTTCACTCGCAAGTCTCTAATGATATCAATGTGTTTGTCTGGCACAAATAGAAAATAAGTACAGATCAATTGTCTTTTAAAAATAATCTGTTATGAGCATTTGCCGAAACCTTTCCCCTGAGACATCGTTCAGATTCGGATACCACAATACTTTTATAATAAACCAAAACTCAATGCTTTATTTTTTAATTATGTATTTGTTACTGATATAATGTGTTCTGATGGAAAAATACAATATTTTATCGTACTGTAAACAAATTGATTAAACTATGTATAATTTATATTTGGCGTTCATTACTGATCATAACAAATCAAACTACGCATATTTCATACGCTAAAACAAGTAGTTTTTGTCATTTCCACTCATTTATTTAGATGAAGAGCAACTAAAATCATATTTTTGTTGCATTCGGAATAAAGATCTGTGTACAAAAGGGTTTGGTTAACTACAAAAATCATGGCAGAAAGAATTCTTTCTAGCCTTGGTAGTTGGTGTTTGGACTGATTACACGCAAGCTTACTTATAAATGTGCAATAACCTGATAACCACAGACCTGCCGATACCTATTTATATTCGGGCTGGTGAAGGAATATTACAGGGACAGTACAGGAAGACTTCAATTTTTCAGCATTTCCCAACAATAACGGGAAATTTTACGGTAGTTTGAACAAAAATACTGTTGATTTTAGAAGAAATATGGTAGATTTTCGAAAATTTACGGTAGATTTTCACAAATTTACGGTCGATTTTACGGCCGTTCTCGTGGAATAAACAAGTTTTTAAAAAAAGATTTACGGTTGATTTCGGAAAAAAATACGGTAGATTTTTTTACGGGCGTTTTTACGGGGAAAAAAAAGTATTTTTTTACGGTAGTTTGTCATTTGTTACGAAAAAACGAAAAATTTACGGTAGATTCCCGTAAAAATACGGTAGGTTGGCAGGTATGCATAAGAAGCATTGCAATTTATTTTTGCCAAGACTAACACCCTAAGGTAAGCCACAATTTCACAATAAGTATTGATTCCATGTCACCATCACAAGTGGTGACATTTTGTTAAAGTCTCCAACTTTTTTGTGAATGGTATCTTGTGGTTGCTCTTCAGTGGTTGATGTTTGGCAGTTGGTGTTTGGTGGTTGGTGTTCAGTCTTCGGTATCTGTAACAAATGGTAGGCGGTGACATTTTGCATGTTAAAGATTCTCGCAATCTTTATCCAATCAGCATTTGCGATGTGTACCGGCTCACGTATAAAAGGCGAATCCAACTCAAATCCATGCAGGGGTGTATGAGGTACTCGAATAGGAAAGAGCTCGTGAAATCTGAATTTATATGCACATGGTCAATGTTTACACATGTTTGGAGTTATTGAAGAAAAATGTGATATGGGTGCGGTTCCGAATTCGAAGTCATTGCTGGAATTATGATTTTAATATGTGACATTATATCTATAAATACAGCACTAAAAATAACAGTACACATGAAGTACATGTATGATTGTGTCCAGATATGTTTGAAACCCTTACGGTAAATTCTGTCTGCATTTTGGCACCATTGCTCTTTCTTCCCGCATTCTAGTGCTTTTTGAATGAATATATTAATTAATGTATTTCTAACTAAAACATATCACATTTTTTATAAACCACAAACATTTAGATCATAAAAAAATTATTCAATACTTGAGTGAGCACGATATGCAAGGGTTACTAAGTTGACACAGTAAATGACCACTGATATTGTGCTAGTCCATGCACACAGCGTATTCTGCTAATACATTTGCTAACACCCCCACTTTCATAGTGAAGTGACTAATTGGTTTATGTTTACGTTTTAATGTGTTTTGGATTCCTTGTTACAGCAAGGGGGGCCAATAAAGTAGACTAACATGTTTGCATGGCAAGTTTTGATCGAATATGTGAGACACTTTAATGCCTTGTTTGTTTATGGCATATCTCCCAATGTGAATGACCTATAAATACACTCCCCTCCTTAAGTTAAGCAAATAAATACACTCCCTTCCATAAGTTTAGCAAATAAATACACTCCCTTCCATAAGTTCAGCAAATAAATACACTCCCCTCCATAAGTTAAGCAAATAAATACACTTCCCTCCATAAGTTTAGCAAATAAATACACTCCCTTCCATAAGTTTAGCAAATAAATACACTCCCCTCCATAAGTTAAGCAAATAAATACACTTCCCTCCATAAGTTTAGCAAATAAATACACTCCCTTCCATAAGTTCAGCGAATAAATACACTCCCCTCCATAAGTTTAGCAAATAAATACACTCCCCTCCATAAGTTTAGCAAATAAATACACTCCCCTCCATAAGTTAAGCAAATAAATACACTTCCCTCCATAAGTTTAGCAAATAAATACACTCCCTTCCATAAGTTCAGCAAATAAATACACTCCCCTCCATAAGTTAAGCAAATAAATACACTCCCCTCCATAAATTTAGCAAATAAATACACTCCCTTCCATAAGTTCAGCAAATAAATACACTCCCCTCCATAAGTTAAGCAAATAAATACACTCCCCTCCATAAGTTTAGCAAATAAATACACTCCCTTCCATAAGTTTAGCAAATAAATACACTCCCCTTCATAAGTTCAGCAAATAAATACACTCCCCTCCATAAGTTGTGCAAATAAATACACTCCCCTCCATAAGTTTAGCAAATAAATACACTCCCCTTCATAAGTTAAGCAAATAAATACACTCCCCTCCATAAGTTTAGCAAATAAATACACTCCCTTCCATAAGTTCAGCAAATAAATACACTCCCCTCCATAAGTTAAGCAAATAAATAAACTCCCCTTCATAAGTTTAGCAAATAAATACACTCCCTTCCATAAGTTCAGCAAATAAATACACTCCCCTCCATAAGTTAAGCAAATAAATACACTCCCCTCCATAAGTTTAGCAAATAAATACACTCCCTTCCATAAGTTCAGCAAATAAATACACTCCCCTCCAAAAGTTAAGCAAATAAATACACTCCCCTCCATAAGTTTAGCAAATAAATACACTCCCTTCCATAAGTTTAGCAAATAAATACACTCCCCTTCATAAGTTCAGCAAATAAATACACTCCCCTCCATAAGTTTGGCAAATAAATACACTCCCCTCCATAAGTTTAGCAAATAAATACACTCCCCTTCATAGGTTAAGCAAATAAATACACTCCCCTTCATAAGTTAAGCAAATAAATACACTCCCCTCCATAAGTTTGGCAACAGTGTTTGAATCTTTATTTTGTTCCTCACTTGCCAAATTTCTTTAATTTATGACAAAGATAAATCTGCAAACATAAGCAGGCTTATAATGAGTGGTAAAGCCAGCATACGGTACTGTAGAAGTAATGTTGATTGTGTTTTTGTGCCATTTTTATCTCGCTATGAATGAGCGATAGGTAGAGCCCTTGTGAGGATATTATAGAGTACAATGTATTAACATTTGTGTCTTATTAATTCTAGTAGTACAATGGGGTCTTTAGGGGCAACAGGGATGGGAGAATTGACACTTACGCGAAGTCTGAGACTCAGAGAAGCTTTAAAGAAAGACCCTACTCTCCTAGAAGGTATGCGGGAAGCTATAGAAGATATCTTAGATGAGCAACTAGAAGAAAAGCATGGAATTAAACCTGTAAGTAACAATGTAGTCCCTTAAAGGTAGATACAGGTGTAAATATGCAGTGTGGGTCGTATCCACTCGACAGTAGCCCCAGGCAGATGTAAATATTGAGAGTCGAGCGTAAAATTGAAGTGCCTTGCCATATTGTCTAACATGAAAAACATGAAATTTGGCATTGTTAAATATTATAGAACAAAGTCAATTTGAAGAACTTTCATATACATACTACTTTCTTTTTATTTACAAGACAACTGTGAGTATACATTTTATTTATCATCAGTGGCAACACTGTGGCGAGTGTAATTTTTCATTGGCGAGTGTGAAAACACCAGTCGATTGCCACTTGGCGAGTGATAGAAAAATCCTAAGACCCACACTGATATGAGATTCAAAGGCTCTCAAAAACAAAAATTGTATGGTTAGATACTCCTTATATTGGCAGCCTCAAAAAAAAACATTAATGTGTATTGTTTATGGTTTAATACATTCAGATTCAGTGCACTTATAAATTAGTAACTTCTCGACATCTTGATGGATTATTGAGTATTTACTGAATCTGTACAATTATGAAATGAAAAAGAACTATATTTGAAAATAACTACCTCACTCAATGTTGGGTCTATTCAGATTGGGTAATATCTAGTGCACCGGAAACTATAAAAAAATTTGCACAAATTGTGGAATTCAGAAACTTTTGATAGATACTCATCTGGGTGAGTCAGACCCATTCATGAATAACCCATTCATATATTATGCTACAATACGCTCTCTATTTGGAATACCTATGGACTCGGGCTCTTATCCAGCATTTGCCAGGGGGAGGGCTCAGTCCAGGGAGCTTTGAAGCCTAAAATCACTTGAAAAGTGCTCAAATGGTACAAACTGCATGCTTTTGGAAGGATTTTTGGCACTGGGGCTCACCACGGGCCTAAGAGTAACCCTTTTTTGTGACTACAAAAGTGTTACATCATTGAATATACAGTATGTGCTTTTATAGGATGCTGAAGGTATAACAACAAAGGTCTTCAACAACAAGATGTCCACTTTGAAACAACAGAGACAACAAACACATGCAAAGGTATGTTATTTAGCTCATTCCTTAAAAGGTCATTCAAAATTAATTACCTTATATGTTGAACGTTTAAAAAAATATTATATTTATATATGGGTTGTATTAGGATTGAAATATACGAGAGTGACTGTCCAAATTGTGCGTCCTCTAAGTTCACAATCACTTATTATTTCACCATTAGAAGTGGTGACATTTTGTTATAGTCTCCAACTTTTTGGTGGATGGTGATTGGTGTTTGGCCTTTGGTGGTCGGGGTCTGTAACAGGTATCTGTAACAAATGGCTGGTGGTGACATTTTGCATGTTTATACCTTGTAATGTAAGTCACAGGATACAGACATATAAAAATGATATCTAGTTTATTTAAACATCTAGTTTTACAAAAACAAATTACATTAAGCTAATGTCTCTTTTTAAGAGTTGCATACTAAAATTATCCCATAAATCATCTGAATGGCCGTTTGTCTATGATACCATAGCCAATGTCATATATTTACTGTTAACATGTTGAATATATTGCCCTATAATGGTTACAAATAGTCGAATCAAGCTTAATGGAGAATGAATTTATACAACAAAATTTATTTACTGTTAACATGTTGAATATAAAATGACTTAACATAAGTTAAATTTTGGGAATATTTTATATTTTCAGAAATATCCAAAGTTCTTTGACATTCGCCAGCAGATGCTCAGAGAAGTTGATCGTATTGCTAAAGAGAGAATGCAAGCGAAGAAATCTAGTCCAAAACCAGGTAAGAAAAAGCGAATCAGATCTAAAGGGGTGAAGAAATTGCAAGTTACAAGTTCAATATTGACCCTAATGTAGTCCACCAAGATTCAAAGTTTGAAAATTGGAAAAATGTATAAATTCTCCCAAATAATAAATGTGATACCCACATTTATTGAGAAATGATACTTTGTTTTTTATTTTCCTGAATTTCAATATGAACTTTGGGGATTTTGAGAGAATAGATATGAAAAGGAGTTGATATGAGACAACAATATGCTACAATTGAAACAGTTTTTGTTACAATTACTCCCTAGATCTGATACCCCCCCCCCCCCCCCATTAAAGTTTAAACACTCTAAATTGTATGGAGATTAAAACATTGATTTAAATTATTATTAAAAGTTTCTAAATACAGAACTATCAATGATGACCTTTTAAGTTCAGTTTTGCACATTCAATTTTGAAAACAAATCATCACCGTTCTACTGTTCTAGGCCCAAGCCCGACAAAAGAGAGAGCAGTACCCCAGGCAAAGGTGAAGAAATCAAAGCAGAAACGTGCCCCACCCCCCAGGCCTGCCCCCAGGACCCCCAGTCCTAGTAAAGAGAGGGGACCAGCCATGTCCCAGACAATGTCTACTACAGGGTATGTGTATTGTTTGACTCTGATTGCCTGTAATTTACAATTCATGGCGACATTGAGGATTAATCTCCAAAATTTCAGTCAAAGAAGAAGCTGAAAAATATATTTCTGGAAATTCTGGTGAAGCAATTAAAAGTAGTAACATATCAGGGATGTTGCCAGGTTTTTACATTAGTAGGGCCAAAAGTGATGATTGAGGCAAACTTTAGTTATAATCTCCAAAGTTTAAAAAGTCTGAAAATTATATCATACCTCTATCTCTGGCTACATCCGTAGCAGAATCGTGACCCACTCCCCCACATGGCCTGCCCTAAGGACCCCCAGTCCTAGTAAAGAGAGGGGACCAGGCATGTCCCAGACTTTGTCTACTACGTATACAACACCTATTGTTATTGCCCCCATTTTTTGTGCTGTATACAATTCTAAAATTTTAATGTGAAATTTGACAACTATTTACATGTGCATTGTAGATCTGCTAGTCAGTGGGACTCAGGTGAGGATAACTCCGAGGATTACACTTACTCCAGTGAGGAGGAAGATCCCCCAGACTACCACTCGTTACCTAGCAACAAACACAACAACAAAAATACTCCAACACCTAATTCCCAGACAAAACCTGTGTCAAAATCAACTCCAAAATCACCTAAACCAACAACGCCGAAGAAATCATCGGAAACTAGTTTTACAGGATTCGGTCGAGGGACGGCGGCTGTTCAGTTTGAAGATGAGGAGGATGGTGAGGAATCAGAGTGGGATTCCGATGCAAGGTGAGTAAAGATTATACCTATTATTGTATAAGTGTATAGGATTAGAAAAATAACTATTTTTTGTATCAGCCTCAGAATCAATTATCCTCTCCTGGTTAAATATGTTATTTTTTGTCTTTATAACAAAATGAATGAACTTCCGTCAGGGGAATTTTTTATTTTCATCATCAGACAAAAGCCAGTGAGAATAGTAATTCTCAATAAATCCTGAACCTTTTTGATGAACCCTGGGAACTAGGGCACATTGGCAAAGTATGATCCTAAGTTTTTCAGTGTAGCTGGAATTTAGAAATATAACTTTTTCAAGGGTCACAACATAGAGTCTTTGATCAGATTAGATACTTTATATAATATAACACAATTAATGGGCCAGTTGCTCGATAAATGGTTATATACAGGGCAGTAGTAGTTTTGGTCAAGCTAGATACCTTTAAAAAACTGACAAAAGTAACTAAACAGGGCTCTCACCAGGAAATATTTAGGGTGTGGTGCTAACATCTTCAGAATAACCATTCAATTGTGATGAATCATATTTATGTTATGTTTTATCCTTTTTACATGCTATTATTGTATATTCTGATAAGTTTAGACTATGGAAACAATCATGATTTTCCAGTAAAGTGTGGTGGGAGCTAAATAGAGTGTGGTGCTGCGCCACAGTCCAAAAGCCTGGTGAGAGCCCTGCTAAATATTTCCAGTTGGATTAATGAAAATATTCCTTGGCATACAATAAGATGATCTTGTAGACATGCAGATTGTGCTTTAACCTATGATCATTAACGAAGCAAATCAAGCTAACATAATTGTCAATTTTGGATGAATGTTCTTTGGTTAGAATTTCCAATGGTGCAAACAGTGGCATTCTTATATTTTATTCTTGAAAACATAAAAAAGTAACATATTTTCGCTAATTTATACTAAAGGAAGTACATAGTATCAGATGATAGCAAGCAACCTAAAACTTGTCCTGTCTATTTTCTTAAAATCCCCAAATAAAAGTGCAAAGTTTATATGAGGAAAACTAAAGATTTTAACGATAGTGGATTATTTCTGTATAAATGTGACTACCATATCAATTATTTTAGAGAATTTAAACATTTTCCCCTATTTTTTACTCTGAGTCTGAAATGACTTCATTTTATAACATACACATGTATACTCTAGGGGCGAGGAGAAAAATTCTCAATAAATGGTGTATAGTTGGTTTGGCACCATTTTCAGTTAGGGGAGAGTCTTGGATGAAACTTCCACCTAGGTGATAGCTTCGCAGAGTGGTAGGAAGTTCTTTTTTTTGAGGAGTTAGCCCCCCACCCCCCAAAAACACCCCACCCTGGGGAAAAAATTGTTCACACTAAACAACCTTAGATATTTTGATGTTTGTAAGTGACATGCATAGATATTATATATATGAATCATTTGCAATATAATTGATGCTGATTACTCCTAAAGAATATGAATATTAGTACAAAGTGTGTACCCCAGGGGGCAAATTCGTGACTCATTTTCTTACTATTTTGATTCTTACTTTTCAATTAGACACTGTAAGAGATTGAGAAAATTCATGTGAAGTGCCCAATAGCAGGGTTAGTAATCCTGAAAGATGCAAAGCCATGGAAAATGTAGGAGCTGAGAAAAAAATTGTTGATTTTTCGAAAAATTTGACATTTTTGACAGCTGGATTTTGTGTATGACTATAGCTGACCCCTATGGTTTCTAGATCTATCCCTCTATGATGATATTTATGGTTTTATAGTGTGGAACTAAGATGTAAAACATAATTTAGATGGGTTTTAAGGAAGTTAAAGGTTTTAAACAAGTCCAAAATTTGAAATATTGTAAATATAAGGTTTCAAATTTACGAATTCCAGGTATAGCCATGGCTGACCCCTATAGTTTCTAGATCCATCCCTCTTTGATGATATTTATGCTTTTATGGTGTGAAACTAAGATGTAAAAATAATTTAGATGGGTTTTAAGGAAGTTATAGGTCTTAATCACCTCCAAAATTTGAAAAATTGGAAATATAAGGTTTCAAATTTACGGATTCCAGGTATAGCCATGGCTGACACCTATAGTTTCTAGATCTATCCCTCTTTGATGATATGTATGGCTTTGTAGTATGGAACTAAAGATGTAAAACATAATTAAGATGGGTTTTAAGGAAGTTAAAGATTTTAAACAAGTTCAGAATTTGAAAACCTGTAAATATAAGGTTTCAAATTTACGAATGTTAGGTATAGCCATGGATGACCCTTATGGCTGTTTCATCCATACCTCTATGATGAAACATATCATTTTAGAGTGTGAAACTAAGATGAAAAACATACTTAAGATGAATTTTAAGGAACTTTAAGAATTTAAACAAGTGCAATATTTGAAAAATTTAGAAATATCAGGTCTCAAAGGAGCACGGAAAGTATCGCAACAGATTTCAGACAGTCATGTGTTGGATTTTGTCTGTTTACTGAGGATTTAAGCAGGTGCATATGTTAGGCCATTGTATTACCTACAGGAAAAGAACTCTTAGAGATGATAAAATAGTTTGGACTTTGAGACAGCAAAGGTGAAAACAATCCACCCACATGTTTTTCCGGAAATGTTATCCTGATTTTTATCCCCTTTCACCCCTGCTTTTTCAATTTTTGTTGTATCAATATGTTGCATTTTGAGACATAGTTAACCCAGCAAAAGGAATAATAAATTTCTTTTAAATAAAGTGGAAAACAACATTTTCCTGTTATTTTCCGATAGGGAAAACTCATGTGATCCGTTGCTTTCAACTTAATTTTGGTCACCCATATTTGATATCTTTAAAACCCCTGATAGAGTGCATTATTCCTTGAAAGGGGTTAACTGTATGTCAAAACACAACATATTGATGCATGTGGGTGGGTTGTTTGCACCTTCCCTGTCTCAAAATATAAATTATTTTATCATCTCTATGAGTGCTTTTCCTGGAGGAAATGCATTGGCCTAACATATGCACCTCCTCAAATCCTCAGAAAATAGCCAAAATCCAACATATGACTGTCCGAAATCTGTTGCGATACTTTCAGTCCTCCTTTACGATTTCAGGTATAGCCTTGGATGTCCCTATTGTTGAATGTATGACTTTTAAGCTTAGAAATTAGATGTTGAAAATATTGTGGTCAGGTTTGATCCATGTTACAAGTATTGTTAAAATAAAAATAATTAGAGTTGAAGACCTTACCCTAGAGTTCCTAAGGGGGTGAGAGGTTAATAAATCCCCCCCCCACCCATAAAGTGTAACTGCTCCTAGGGATATCGTAAACATTGTATTTATTGATTGATTAATTGGATTATAACTAATTAATTATTATTTGATGATATTTATTATGTGATATAGCATTTTTACTTTTTCACATCAACATGTTCGATGTAATGTTCTACATTGTCAATATACATAAAGACATGGTTAATTGATTTCTCTATATTTTGTTATACCCCTACCGTTATTAAGCAATAATCATCTCTTAATGCAAAATGTTATTATAAATTATCAAAAAGTTATAATCACTACACTCCCAATAAAACAACTTGTCATCAGGCAACAGTAATTATTTGGGAAAATAAGGATTATAAGGATCATACCCCCCAGGCCTAGAAACTCCCATTAGTGCAATGAGATTAGAAACTCCTGGGTAAAAGGGTCTTGTCACACTAAAATCTTCATGTAGATCAAAAATGGTGATATATAAATGATCAATATGTTTCAAACAAACAGACATTGTAGAAAATGTTTACATACTGAGTTTGCAGATGACATTTGCTAGCATAGTTGAAGAATTTTTTACATTTATTGAAAAGATAGTCCTAAAATTAGAATATCAGTGTCATTTGATCCCTTACACCATTTTCCTTTATATATTTGTCATTTTCAGAAATGACTCCCTGATATTTTGCACATTTGTGCATCATTCAATTTCCTACTAGCCTACTTTATTTCATGACCATCAGATTGATAGTCACAATGTTACAGCACTTTCAAGAACATACCACAGTGGCCACTATTGCGCTGTTGGGCCACCTGCACTCGTCGTCCAAAATGTCCCTACCAGTGGGGATATGGCAGAGAAAAAGTGTATGAGAATGACCTCAGGACAATTGCAGACCTCAAAAGTGAGATCATCTGTATCATCCAGGTCATACCTAATGAGGAATGCATTCAGGTCATTGACATCTGTGCAGGTTTGCCTACAACGCGATGATGGCCAAACTTGAAGCATGTTTTTCAAAGTGCTGTAAAATTGTGACTACCAGTCTGATGGTCATGAAATTTTGTAGGGTGGTAGGAAATGGAATGATGTACTAATATTTGAAATATCAGGGAGTAATTTTTTAAAATGACAAAGAAATTAGTAAAATGCAGGGTTTCCATTTTTTGACCACCCTGTATTTGAGTTCTCTCCAATAGTTCCACTTAAAACAATCTTGACATTTGGCACACTTTTAGAATGCTGCTTATTGAAATTCTTTGCAATCTTTGAAAATTTGTCTTATATTACTTGGCCAAAAGGTATTCATATTTTTAGGTAATGGTGTAATTTCTTCTTTGGATTAAAGTTCAATAGGGGAAGCATCCATTCTTCGCATTCTTTCAGAATCCTTTACTGATGGAGACTACTAGGAGTCAAATATGAAATCTATTCTTTGGGCTCCTTTACTAGATTTGATCTATAAATAGCATCATAGGGAATAGCATGCCAAGTGCTTGTATTTGAATTCATGTGGATTACTCATTTGGTAGACATCTTTATCAAATGTTAAAGTGTTGTTGATTTTTAAGTTGTACAAGCACAGTGTCATGGGTGCTTACTTTCCTGACATAGTATTAACATTGTGGTAAAAATTATCAAAGGCACCTAGTACAGTAGTTCTAGTTCGTCATCTTGTATAAATGATATATATCCTGTATATCCCAACATCTGACTATTGTGAACACCTACCAATCATCCCAACACCTGACTAATCTGAACACCAACCAATCTGAACACTTTTCCCAGTCCAATTTTCCCTCCCATTGACTCCTATGTTTAATAATTGAAATCTGAACAACTCTTAATTCGAACAGTGAACACTCATATTTGAAAAATTAACCTGTTTAACTTGAACTCTTTTTACCAAATATCACATATTTCTTACAAAATTGATCAAATATTGTCAGTTTAACACCGAATTGTTATGATATCAAAACTTTTGAATTGGATTTTGGATGCTATTAAGCTTTTTATGTGGTCATTATTTATATTATTAATATTTATTGATATTTTTCATTGAGAATACATTCATATTTCTTCAAAATCCAGAATATTGCAGATTTAAAAACCTCAAAATTCAAACAGTTCTAATTAGAACGCTTTTAGCTGGTCCAAATAGCATTCAGATTAGAGAGATTTTACTGTAGTTCATGACTTTTCACTCCATTTATATGCAGCAGACTAATTGTTACAACAGGTATATATTCTTTACCTGGTCTCTAAGCTATGATATCATAGTTGACACTATTATGCTCATAAACTTCGATTATCTGGGCTCATTCAAGGCTGAACCTGAATAACGTGAATTTGAGACCTGATATTTCTCAATTTTTCAAATTTTTCACTTGTTTAAAACCTTAAACTTCCTTAAAACTCATCTTAGGTATCTTTCACATTTTAGTTAAACACTCTAAAACTATATATTTCATCACTGAGGTATAGATGTGAAAACCATATCATCTTTGGCTATACCTGAAATTCATAAATTTGAAACCTAACATTTACAATTCTTCACCGTAAACTTCCTTAAAATGCATTTTGGATATGTTAAATCTTAGTGCCACACTCTAAAACTGTATATTTAATCATAGAGGTATGGATGGAAAAACCATAAGGGTCAGCCATGGCTATACCTGAAATTCGTAAATTTGAAACCTTATATTTACAATTTTTCAAATTTTGGAGTTGTTAAAAACCTTAAACTTCCTTAAAACCCATCTAAATTATGTTTTACATATTAGTTCCACACAACAAAACCATAAATATCATCATAGAGGGATGGATCTAGAAACTATAGGGGTCAGCCATGGCTATACCTGGAATTCGTAAATTTGAAACCTTATACAGTAAAACCTGTCTAATCCGAACACCCATGGGACCAGCTAAAAGCGTTCAAATTGGCAGGTGTTCAAATTTCGAGGATTTTGTTGGTCGGGGGGGGGTTTTCATTGTTCAGTGCACTATATTGAACGCTTAATACTAAGTCAGAAAACAATACATGTTGTTGATGAGTTAATTCTACAATAGACCTATAGCCTATATGCTATGTTTTATTTATATTTTGAACAATTTCATCATTTTAGTAAAAATAACTTATATTTTGGCAAAAACTTTGTAGTACACTGTAAAAGTATATGATAGTCTCGTACGAAATCTTATGCTTATCAAATGGCTTATCCCATATTATGGTTATATAGCACTGCTTTACTTTTGCTTGAAAAAGTCCTTCATTGTTGTTTGTTTCTTGGCACTTTTAGCATTAGCAATATTTGAGTAGATATCCTCTTCAAGTAAAAATAATTTTTCATGAGTGTTCATTCGAGATGATGTATAATCCTTCAAAATATCAAGGGCATTCAGGATGTCAGATGTATGCGAATATTACGAAGTTGGATTTTTTCTCCTTCTCATGATATAATCGTGTCTGCAAATGGCGTCTGTGTTGTCTTTGTGATTATAAAACATTTACTGATTGAATCTTAGCTATCATAACAGACCCATGGGATATAAAACAGTTAAGACCTGTTCATAATCCAAATCAAAAACATCCAGTTAATTTACAATAAGGATAAACCAATTATCTCCCAGACTCTCACCTTTCTCTTAATCCAAATCAAAAACATCCAGGTAATTTCAAATAATTATAAATCAATTATCTTCTTGATTCACACCTTTCTCTTAATCCAAAAATAAAACATTCAGTTCTTTTCTAATAGGATAAACCAATTAACTCCTGTATTCACACCTTTCCAAAACATCCTGTTGTTTTCCACAAATTAGGGATGTCACTGAGACTAAATAAGTTAATTAGGACGATTGGTTCTTTGATTGCATTTGTATATATGTAGATAAATAACAACTATAACACTGACTCAATATGTGGCTTTAATTGAAATGTCCAGACATTTGATTTCTGATAAAAATGTTCAGATTAGACAGGTCACTTTTTCAAATCTGGTTGTTCACTGTTCAAATTAGGAGGTGTTCAGATTTCAAGGTTTTTTTAACATGGGAGTCAATGGGAGGAAAAAATGGGACCGAAAAAAAGTGTTCAAATTGGAAGGTGTTCGGATTAGCCAGGTGTTCAGATATACAGGTTTTACTGTATTTACAATATTTCAAATTTTGGACTTGTTTAAAACCTTTAATTTCCTTAAAACCCATCTAAATTATGTTTTACATCTTAGTTCCACACTATAAAACCATAAATATCATCATAGAGGGATGGATCTAGAAACTATAGGGGTCAGCTATAGTCATACACAAATTCCAACTGTCAAAAATGTCAAATTTTTCGAAAAATCTACAATTTTTTTCTCAGCTCCTACCTTTTCAATGGCTTTGCATATTTCAGGGTTACTAACTCTGCCATTGGGCACTTCACATGAATTTTTTCAACCTCTTACAGTGTCAAATTGAAAAGTTAGGATCAAAATAGTAACAAAATGGGTCACGAATTTGCCCCCTGGGATACACACTTTGTACTAATATTCAATTTTCTTTGGAGAAATCAGCATCAATTATACTGCAAATGATTGATATATATAATATCTATGTATGTCACTTACAAAAATCAAAATATCTAAGGTTATTTAGTGTGAACAATTTTTTTCCCCGGGGTGGGGTGTTTTTGGGGGGTAGGGGGCGAAGTCTTCAAAAAAAGAACTTCCTACCACTCTGTGAAGCTATCACCTAGGTGGAAGTTTCATCCAAGACTCTCCCCTAACTGAAAATGGTGCCAAACCAACTATACACCATTTATTGAGAATTTTCCTTCTCGCCCCTAGAGTAGTAGCAGACTTTTGGAATTGGAGATGTTATATTTTTGATCATAAGGAATATAAAGGCTATAGGTCAGATGTACATGTATATTATGCTCCTTGAAATTTTGTTACCCCTTATAATGTTTTCGGCCAATGTGTTACATACATGAATAGAGCACCTAGATTTAACCAAAAGTGAACCTATAGTGAACCTACCAATTACACTTTATTGTAATGATGAATTGATGTTGCACCAAATTCCTTATTGCATTTTACATGAATCATTTTCATCTTTTTGTTAAGATCCTCTTTTCCATGATCACACAGTCCTAGTTTATTGGTAGTCGACCACCTATTTGAACATTCATATTGATTTGTCGAAAGATAACTTGAACACTTGAGTGATGGGACTTGATCTAGCTCTCTTGTTTTCCTTTTTAAGAGAATAGCCCCATCATCAAATGGTTTTGATGTTGCACAGATTGTAAATTCCAACATAGCTAATTTCTTCCTCATTATTTCCATAAGATGATTCTGCTGTAACCGTGGAAACCATGGATGTGCTTCTAGGGTTGTAAACATTGGTTCAGAGATCAGAAAGTCTAGATTGTCCTTTTTGACATCTTCAAATTCATATTCATTTGCTCGAATAAAGTTCTCCAGGCTTGGCTTTTCAGCAGATAGGTATTTTTTGCATTTTTTCATCAGCTTGTCAACCTGGTATTCATCACTCAGGCGTAATAAAACATCAATATTTGCCTCTGAAAGTAAAATACAATTGAATTATAATTTCTAGATTTTATCGTAAATAGCATACATAACTATTATTATAATAAGAATTATTTTGGAATTAAGCATATAGGTTTTATTTTGAAGAATATTTTTAACTTTTTGGTCTATTCCATTTTTTAAAGCATCATCATCCAATGGTAATATCAAAGTCAAAGTGAAGGGTGGACAGGTAGGCCAGATATTGGAGACTTTAAGCTGGCAATGTTTTTCACAACGTTACTGCGAATGCAAATATTTCTGAAAATTTTCTAAATTTTTTCACTTAATTTTCTTGTTTTTTATACACTTAATCAAAACATTCTTCTCACAAATCTTTTCTAGGCACATAAGTACACTCTTTGTGCAAAACTGGAAGATATAGACAATGTGGGGAATAAGGAGTGATTCTCGTTTGAAAAATAACATGTGATTCAATTGAGGAATGCAGAAAATTTCCCATCATGCACCCTAACCTTAAATTCCAACATTGTATTTTTGCATTCATGTAGAGAACTTCTTATGACCAGAGGTCAAACAAAATAAAAAAATCAAATGTACAGTTTAAGACAGCACATTCAAGGAACTATAACAAGGAAAACAGAAAAACTATATAACATGAGTCACATAAACCATAATGATTCTTTACCAGTAATATCTATCCACGTAAGGGGATGTATGGCTTCCATGAAGCAAACCAGGTCCTCTGTAGTTTTTCCTGGTAGCGGAATTTCTGTTTTTGTCTTTTCCAGGAAGTCTGAGTTGAACATAGTTTTAAAAACTGGTGATGCAATTTCTAAAACAGATTTTGAAGCATATACCCTTTCATCAGTATCACTTATAAGGATTATATCTCCACCTTCCCAAGGCTGGCAGAAGGAGCTCTTAAAATCTTCTCTTTTGCTCTCCATTTTTTATAGTTTCTTTCTAAAAATTCAATATCTGTTTTATAAACCTTTATGCTGATCGTTCAGTCAGTTTGTGGTTTAAAAGTGCAATGTCACCTTGCACTGATTAGAGAAAATTCTATGTATTCATGTGCAAACAAGCATCTATTTGACATATAAAAAAGCTTTATAAATCTCAGGCTAGATTAATTGAAAAACTTGAGTTGATAGATTTTGATTTATTTTCTTTCAAGTCATGCTCTATCCCAGAATGCCACACTGCAGGAAATGTAGACCTGTCATGTTTTACTGAGGGATCGATCATTACATTTCCTATATTTTAATAGGCTAAGAGATTTGTACATTCAGAATTTTTACAAAGACCCCCCCCCCCCCCACAAAAGTGGTGTCTTTGTTCCTTATTCCAGGCAAACACCAGTGGATCGGTCACATGACCTAAAGACCACCTTTATTACCTTATATGGCAAATTGTCAAGGGAACTACCAAGGTGTCGATTACGGATCGATTGTGTTTCCAAGTAATGTTGTCATGTGACAGAATATGTTACGTATTCTCGTGACTTTTGATGAAGTTATTCAGATAATAAGTTTAACAGAACAATATATTTGTGGGCGATAATACTACAAACGTTACACATTTATTCTGCGCATGCGTATAGCAATTATAGTTATGAAAGTGTTACACTGAACGATAACAGTTCTGACAATACATATACAATGAGTACTCCTTCCTTAATTTAATGGTCAACATAAATAAAAAAACTTGTCAGACTTCAGAGAGAAAAACTTTCATCATGATGTATAGATGTCTCTAGTGCAGAAGTTCAACTATTTCAATGTTTACAAATAACTCAACTTGATCAGCTGTTTGTAGCTTCATATATATAGGAAGAGTAAAATGTCAGGCCTGTACGAGCCCCCCCCCCCCTGATATCTCCTAAAAAAAATGTGGACCTACCTTTTTGCTTCCTTGAAGAAAAACTTGCTCTTCCCCAAATTCACTGGGCAATTAAGATTAAAAAACTGTGCATTGTTTTTCGAATTTGGGCATTATTTTTCAAAATTTGGCCCAATTTTTTCGCACACATATTTGTGCCCCTTTCCCACCCTTAGTATACGCAGCTAACGAAAATTGACCGGCACGGGTCAAAAGCTGGACCGGCACGGGTTAACGGTTTTATTTGAATTTAAAACAGCCATAACTTGCTCAATATTGACTTCCTCGTGTCTAATTTGAAATATATGATTCCTCCCGATGCTTTTAAGTACCCCAATTTTTTACAGATTTTTAAACGGACCAAAACTCTCTAAATGCGCATTTATATAAGAACGACTGTCTCATTTTCACGATAACTTTTATTTAGTACTTCTAACATATAAGATCTATTTTGCCCCATCAAGGTATGATGTAAATGACATGCTATTTACATCTTGTGAGTTTCAATGACGCGCGTTTGATTTTATAAAAAATGCCAAACTTAAACACATGTATAAAGATTCCTAAATTATGTTCATGCTATTGCCCCGAACCGGTCCGTCTTCTCGCTGCAAGCAGGATGAAATTCTTTGTCACAAAGTTTGGCATTTTTTTATAAAATCAAACGCGCGTCATTGAAACTCACAAGATGTAAATAGCATGTCATTTACATCATACCTTGATGAAGAAAAATAGATCTTATATGTTAGAAGTACTAAATAAAAGTTATCGTGAAAATGAGACAGTCGTTCTCGAGAGAAAAGAGCATAAATGCGCATTTAGAGAGTTTTGGTCCGTTTAAAAATCTGTAAAAAGTTGGGGTACTTAAAAGCATCGGGAGCCATCATATATTTCAAATTAGACACGAGGAAGTCAATATTGAGCAAGTTATGGCTGTTTTAAATTCAAATAAAACCGTTAACCCGTGCCGTTCCAGCTTTTGACCCGTGCCGGTCAATTTTCGTTAGCTGCGTATACCAAGGGTGTTTCCCTCTGTTTTTTAGGGACATGGGGCCACCCCCCCCCCCCCTAGGATGGGCCCTGAAAAAAATGATGGCCCAAAATATTGCAGTGGCTTTGTAGTGGGCCTTTTTTGGCATTACTTGACCTTTTGGGCCTTATTTTTTTTCAATTTAAGGCCAAATTTTCAAAAAACAGGCTATAAATTTTCAAAATTTCGGTTTTAGGGCCCTAAAAATTTTATGCGAGGCCCTAGGATGGGCCAACAAAAAAATGTTGGGCCAAAAATATTGTAGGGCCTCTTTAGTTGACCTTTACTTGACCTTTTTGGGCCTTATTTTTTTCAATTTCAGGCTAACTTTTCAAAAAACGGGCCTTAAATCTTCAAAATTTAGGCCAAAATTTTGGTTATAAGGCCCTAAAAGGTTTTCTGCGCGGCCATAGGATGGGCCCAGAAAAAATGTTAGCCCAAAAATATTGTAGGGCCTCTTTAGTGGGCCTCCTTGGGCATTAATTGACCTTTTTGGGCTTTATTTTTTTCCAATTTAAGGCCAAATTTTCAAAAACAGGCCATAAATTTTCAAAATTTTCACCTGAATTTTGGTTTTAAGGCCCTAAAAATTTTACGTGCGGCCCTAACACCCCAGTCACACCGTGCGTCGACCGCAGATCGATTAAATCGGTGTATTTCTGCGGCGAGCGTAGGAAAACTATAGATAAAAAAACTAACTAGAAATTATAACTCGGAGTTATAATAATATTTGTTCATTTCTGAGGTCCCCGTAGAAATCAACTGGCTCAACAAGATTGAATCATTATTTGTCAATGTTTCATGATCACTTTTCATTTGATATTACATCCTAGCACTATGAATAACATTTATAAATTGTCCCGATGAAAATGAAATGAAAAAAGTATTATTTATCAACAGAAATTTAAAATTCACCGTGCGGCTGCCGTGGGAAATGTGACTGCAAAAGTATGAGAGCGCAGAAATTCCACGGCGAGCGTAGAAATGTTACTGGCCGCAGAAATGATAGACCGTGGAAACCATGGATGTGCTTCTAGGGCTGTAAACATTGGTTCAGAAATCAGAAACTCTAGATTGTCCTTTTTGACATCTTCAAATTCATAATCATTTGCTCGAATGAAGTTCTCCAGGCTTGGCTTTTCAGCAGAAAGGTATTTTTGGCATTTTTTCATCAGCTTGTCAACCTGGTATTCCCGACCAAGACGTAATAAAACATCAATGTTATCATCTGAAAGAAAAATTCAGTTGAATAATAATTTCTGGATTTTATCATTAAATCAAGGACCACTAAAATGCTTAACAAAAAGAGGAAAAAATTTCTTTCAATATGAGGCGAATAAAAAGAAATTATTGACTTTTTGGTCTATTCCTTTTGTTTAGAAAATATTTGATTTAAGTTTGTTGAAAATTCCCATATCTGTATGGTAAAACGAGGTCATAAAACAGATAAAACTGATAATTAAAATTTCTTTCCTCAAACCTGTCAGCTATATTTTGACCCACCTGATGCATGTATCAAAGTTTGTACTGATTTGGAGTATTTCAATCCCCAATATTTTTTGTGTTCATTTTTCTAAATTCCTCAAACTTCCTATGGCCAAAGGTCAAACAAATTAAAATCCAATAAACAGTAATAGACAAAACTTTCAGAACAGGCCTCATGGGCCATTATAACAATGGATAAAGTCACATAAACAATCACAAATCATAATGACCCTTTACCTGTAAACTCTATCCATGTAAGGGGATGTACGGCTTCCATAAAATAAACAAGGTCCTCTGTACTCTTTCCTGGTAGCGGAATTTCAGACTTTTTCTTTTCTTTGAATTCAGAATTAAACATTGCCTTAAATACTGGAGACACCATTTGTAGAACAGCTTTTGAAGCATACACTTTTTCATTGCTATCACTAATTAACACTATGTCACTTCCATCCCATGGCTGGCAAAAGGAACTCTTGGAAACTTCTTTTTTGTTCTCCGTCATTTTAATCTTTGTCTATTGTATAAACTTGAATGCAGTTTTTCATAAAGTTTGAGGTTCAAAAGTACACTTGGTTCAGTTGTATCACATTGTGCTAGCAATGTGTACTTTACCCTCATACTTGAGGTGGAGGTTGAGAGAGGCATATCAAGTGATTTATTGGTTATCAGGATGTTAGCAGGTTTTAAAGGGCCATTATATTATTCCTGTCGATATGTCTTTTATTTAGATAAAGAGTCACTATCTCTGTGACATCGGGGTAGAGGGGGGGGGGGGGGGTTTAAACGTTGATCAGTTCTGCTATTTTTTGTGGCTATTGGTCATATAGTGGATCATTTTGTCAAAAAGTAAGGGTGATCAGAAAAAAGGTTACTTTTACTTTTACTTTTTTGAAAACAGCCTATTAGATTTCATTATAAAACATTGTACTAAATTGAAAACGTATATATAAAGGCTATAAAAATGTCCTATATTCTAGTAATGTCCTATATTCTAGTAATAAATGAATTACATTGTCAAGTAACAATTGAAGATGTTTTGAATGCATTGATTCGCTTTCTATCGAAACAAGTTTTTAACAGTATGTTGCAAAATGATAACATCGACCACTCCCACTTTCCAGGGGTAGGGTACTATAAAGTCACATTAAAAATCATAAATAGTACATTATCATTATTATAGTTCTATTAGTTTTTTTTTCTATTCATTTTTTTATCCATAAAACTATTTTTTCAAAAATCAGATTACAAATTGATTCAAAGTTAATTGTATTAAATCACGAAGTCTTAGTACTGTAGGAAAACATCTGTCTGGTCATTTTGAAATACAGGACTTAACGTTCAGGATAAACCTTGTATCTAAGCCCCCTCAGTACATAACCCTTGTGTATTTACAGTGAGTTGGCTGAACTGAGTCCAAGTAAAGTGAATGCTCCTAAAAGAGTGGATGCAGAATCCAAGGGAGGGTCAGTTGCAGAAATTGCCAAGAGTATAGAACAACAACTTCAGGTAAACCACTCTTTGGCAGTTCAAAACTTATGAGTACTTTTAGTTTATGAGTGAACTTTTTGAGTCTAGAAGTTAACTTTTTGAGTGTAGTGACATTGTTGAGTGTATTAGTGACATTGTTGAACTGTGACATTGTTGAGTGGATAAGAATGACTAATATAAATTCGTAAAATAGTACATCTCTTATATATATGACCATCTTGAAAAGTTACATGTTCTGTCTAAGCATAGATTAAACTATTTTCTTTATGACATTTTACAGGGAAGGGGAAATGGCAAACCTCCTGCAGGTGGAGTAGACACTATAAAATCCACGCTCCAGGCAGAGATTTAAATATGTTTCTTTATGACATTTTACAGGGAAGGGGAAATGGCAAACCTCCTGCAGGTGGACTAGACTATGAAATCCACTCTCCAGGCAGAGATTTAAATATGTTTCTTTATGACACTTTACAGGGAAGGGGAAATGGCAAACCTCCTGCAGGTGGACTAGACTATGAAATCCACTCTCCAGGCAGAGATTTAAATATGTTTCTTTATAACATTTTACAGGGAAGGGGAAATGGCAAACCTCCTGCAGGTGGACTAGACTATGAAATCCACTCTCCAGGCAGAGATTTAAATATGTTTCTTTATAACATTTTACAGGGAAGGGGAAATGGCAAACCTCCTGCAGGTGGACTAGACTATGAAATCAACTATCCAGGCAGAGATTTAAATATGTTTCTTTTTGACATTTTACAGGGAAGGGGAAATGGTAAACCCCCTGCAGGTGGAGTAGACACAATGAAATCCACTCTTTCTCCAGGCAGAGATTCAAGGAGTCCTGCAACTCCTGACATACAGGTGTGTAGGGGAAACTGATTTATAGTCTTTCAAAATAATGTTTATTAATAAGATTTTGCAGTGCAGTCCAGCCACTTGGCATTCATAAAGCTCTTGCTAAGGTAAGGCTATTATGGAGAGTTAAACATTATACATGACATATAAATACAAAACAATATAATATACATATAATGAAAATAACAGCACTACATTATATTTTATGATACAATTGCATGAGTAAATATAAAAGCCTCACAAATATGAAAGCCTCACTACTACAAATTATATCAATTTATGGATATGTTCTAATTTAAAAATGTATTTAACATGTGCTTAATATGCTCGGCACAAATAGTGATCAATTTTCCCATTGAATTTGATCTATATTATAAAGGAGATCTGATCTACCCCCTAAAGGAATCTCTATTAAAATATCTGTTTCTGAGTTGAACAACATAAACAGAATTTTTACAATTATATAATGAATGTCTTTGAGGAAAAAAGTTATGGTTGCTATAGTAACACAAGTCTGGAAAATTTTCTATATATTACATGGTTCTAGCATGTATATCAATTAACAGAGACCCCTTCTGCACAGCATATTCTGTTTTTTGTTATGGGACAGATGCTAAGCAACTAAATTGATAGATGTCACAAATTTTCCATCCCATAATGATCCTAAAATTGTATTTTTTCAGATGCTAGAAGATGACGCAGAAGAAGATCCCGAGGATGACTGGAGTGTATCATCTCTCGGGGAAAATAATTCTGACGTCCCTCAGAAAAAACAACAGCAAAAGTAAGTAAAACAAAGCTGTGGTCAATGGCCTAGCCAAAATCAAATCTTTGGTGAGGCAAATGTATATAGGTGAGGCAAATGTATATAGGTGAAGCAAATGTATATAGGTGAGGCAAATGTATATAGGTGAGGAAAAATGTATATAGGTGAGGAAAAATGTATATAGGTGAGGAAAATGTATATAGGTGAGGCAAATGTATATAGGTGAGGAAAATGTATATAGATGAGGAAAAATGTATATAGGTGAGGCAAATGTATATAGGTGAGGCAAATGTATATAGGTGAGGCAAATGTATATAGGTGAGGAAAAATGTATATAGGTGAGGCAAATGTATATAGGTGAGGAAAAATGTATATAGGTGAGGCAAATGTATATAGGTGACGCAAATGTATATAGGTGACACAAATCTATATAGGCGAGGCAAATGTATATAGGTGAGGAAAAATGTATATAGGTGAGGAAAAATGTATATAGGTGAGGCAAATGTATATAGGTGAGGAAAAATGTATACAGGTGAGGCAAATGTATATAGGTGACGCAAATGTATATAGGTGAGGAAAAATGTATTTAGGTGAGGAAAAATGTATATAGGTGAGGCAAATGTTAACAGGGGAGGTAAATTCAAATAGGTGAGGCAAATGTATAAAGGTGAGGCAAATGTATATAGCCGAGGCAGATGTATATAGGTGAGGCAATGTATATTGGTGAGGAAAATTGAGGCTATAGGAGATTCAATACAGTGATCTCCCCAGCATTAAAGCAAGTGGTTGCAGCACCCACCTGAGATTTTGAAAATAGGCTTGCACCCACCTGAAAATTCATTTGCACCCACTTGAAAATGAGAAAAATCATAAAGAATGGGCATATTTGTGTTTTGACCAATTTTGGTCTGAATTGTGAAAATGAGAATTTTGCACTCACTTGAGAAAAAATCCTGTGGAGATCACTGCAATTCTATCTTTACATTTCATTTCTGCGATATTAGATATGAAACGATGCCTGAAAGAATATATAGTTTCATAAAGTTTTGATGATGTTGTTGCCAAACAGAGAAATTTTTGTGATCTTGGTTTCAACTTGAATTTTTCAAGCCATACTTAATTTTCACAAAATCTTTGTGAGACAGTTGCAATTTCTTGATAATTGCTAAATGTAAATGTAAAGTTATTCCCTGTTTAAGAAACATGATTGTTTCAGAAAATTCATTTCAAATTCCAAGATTTAAATTCATTTCATTTTTATTGATGGCTAATTTTTAATTTAATCTGTATCACTACCAATTAATATTGATACAGCAACATCATTAAATGAAATATATCTTATTTTTAGGAAACCAGTTAGGCGAGGTACAGGGGGAGACACTGACTTCTCAACAAACACATATGGTACAAGTGTGTGGGGATCGTCGTCAAAAGGTATTTTAAATGGGACACCCTGTATTTAAATTCAATAAGTACTTTAGTCCTTTGTGTTGTTTCTTTCATTATTTCGTTCAATTTATGTTTTTATGTCTTTTCTAATTTCTACCATTTCACATTCTGCTTTTGCGTTTTTAGCTACTTTTTCGTAATTTTTTATATACCATAGTTTTTTAGTCTTTGAATTGCCTTTCTCACATATGCTACGTTTTGCATATAAAACAGAAACGTGTCTTCATTTTTTTGTCTCAACTATTTTAAGCCAAAGGGCATTGACACTTTTCAAGTACACTTGGAGGAAGTGTAAGTTGTGACTCGTTAGTTTTTGTGACTGAAATTCCCAACAAAATTTCTCCGCTCATCACCCTAATTTCCTGATTTTAATAAAAGGTCAGTGAGGCAAATTAATAGGTGGTGTAAAATTACTACAGAAGTTGATTTTGAACTGTGAAATGCAGACATGACTTCAAAATCACCAAAAAGTCGAGTGACATTCTACATTTCCTCCAAGCTACATGCTTTTGTGACTTTTTTCTAGATCTTCCTTTTCAGTGTTTAAGAGTGTTTTATAAAGTTTAAATTAATTTCCTTTTTTTACAAATGCTTATATAGATGTAGTATGTTTCACAAATATTTAACTTTTTTCCTTTGTAGAGTTCCTTTCTGGTTTTCGTGCATTTCCTTTGAACTTAACCATGTAAACAGTCTACACTCTTATATACTTATATATTGTATATACAAGCACATCGAGCAGGGGCGTAGCCAGCTTTCAGTCAGGGGGGAGTGCGATCACCAAAAATATTTCGGTTTTCAGCCAGGGGGGTGCGATTGTGCAGTTTTAAAGCTCTTTTCTTCTATCTCATGGTTTTATTGTTATGGGGGGGGTGCGATCGCACCCATCGCACCCCCACTGGCTATGCCTATGCTGAGTATATTGTACATACAATGAGAACCATATTATATAAGGCTTGTTAAGAATATGCAGTAATATCACTATATTCTTTAAAAACTGACCCCCTTGGCAAAAGGGGAGTTGTGGTTTGAGCGAACAACCATTCCCTTGGCCAAATTCAAAATCATGCATTTTTTCACCATTTTGAGCTCCTTTCAAGTGATTTAGGGCCAATGTTATCAAATTTTAAGATAAATTAAAAGTCCTTATAAAGGGCTGGCAATAGGGCTGTCATTTGTATGAGTAGAATCCAAAAACGCATGTAGTTTTAATAGGGTTGATATCACTGCTTTTGGTGAGGGAATAATGTTAGTTTAATCTTCTTTGCCTTTTTCTCTTATCTTCATCTCATCTTTCATTACCTTAGCTTCGTTCTGGGGATTACTTTCGTTTGATAATTTCTTCTTAAGGGATGGTTTCCAATTATCAAGAGTGGAAAAACAAAGTTAAATTTTTTATCGTTCAACCCTCCTCCACTCATCTATTGTAATTTTAAAATGTTGATTTGTATCTCACTTGGATTTTCAAAAAATCAGCACTATTCGGCGCTATATATTATATAGCAAACCATCGTTTACCCCCTCCCCTAATGAAACTGACTTCTTTTTTCTACCACTGTTGATAATCAGGCAACATCCCTGAACCCATTCTTTTTTTATCCTTTTATGATAAAGGCTTGGAAAGTGTTGACTATATGATTATTTACTTGAAACATTTTTAGAGTTATCAGGGGTGTCTTGAGGTTGATGGTTGTGTTATGGGGATAGAAGCCTCTCCTTTGGCAGGCTGAATGGGATATACAATAAAACTTGGCAAAGTGCAACACCTTTAATACCCCTAAAACAAGTTCCACTTGGGAGGTGTTCCACTTATAGGGGTTCATTTAACATTAAATCAGTTGGTCTTGAGTCTATGGAAAGTGTTCCACTAACAGTGGTCTTCCACTTTACGGGTTTCACTGTATATTATGCCATCACAAACATGAACCAACCAACATGTACTACTAGTATTAAATTGGGAGTTTTTTCACCTATCCTTTATGCCTTAGTCACATTTGATCTACGGCAACCGTACAACGGCTAAGCTTCCCAAACTTGAGATAAATGGGTATTAGTACTAGTACAATGTAGATTTTCTATATCAATTTTGTGAAGCTACGGCCACCATATCCCGCCATAGAGCAAATATGACTGAGACTTTAGTTCTAGTTCATCTTGTGGTGAAGACCTAGTAGTATTTCTTCTTAAGATTAAAAATCTTACCAAAATATTCTATAACTTTACTGTAAGGTTGCAGATTGCTTTCTTGGCTTTTGTAAGTTTTTCATTGTCATGGACAGGCGTGAGACAAGTGAAGCAGTTTTACATACAACCAGGCATTTTGTGTCCTGCTGGAACATTGATGTACAGTGAAACCTGTATCTTCAAACACATCTCTAATCCAAACACCTCTCAATGTAAACACTTTTTAATGGTCTATATTTTCTCCCATTGACATATTAAAAGACTGAAATATGAACACCTGCTATTCAGAACACTTTTGACTGGTCTAAATTTTCTCTCATATTAAAAGACTGAAATATGAACACCTGCTATTCAGAACACTTTTGACTGGTCTAAATTTTCTCCCATATTAAAAGACTGAAATATGAACACCTGCTATTCAGAACACTTTTGACTGGTCTAAATTTTCTCCCATATTAAAAGACTGAAATATGAACACCTGCTATTCAGAACACTTTTGACTGGTCTAAATTTTCTCCCATATTAAAAGACTGAAATATGAACACCTGCTATTCAGAACACTTTTGACTGGTCTAAATTTTCTCCCATATTAAAAGACTGAAATATGAACACCTGCTATTCAGAACACTTTTGACTGGTCTAAATTTTCTCCCATATTAAAAGACTGAAATATGAACACCTGCTATTCAGAACACTTTTGACTGGTCTAAATTTTCTCCCATATTAAAAGACTGAAATATGAACACCTGCTATTCAGAACACTTTTGACTGGTCTAAATTTTCTCCCATATTAAAAGACTGAAATATGAACACCTGCTATTCAGAACACTTTTGACTGGTCTAAATTTTCTCCCATATTAAAAGACTGAAATATGAACACCTGCTAATCTGAACACTTTTGGCTGGTCTCAGTAGTGTTCAGATTAGACAGGTTTTACTATCCCTCTCAGCTCTCATTTGCCTTAAAATGTGGTTAATTTGCCTGCCTGTGCACTTCATAAGTTTCCATACCCTGAATTCTCAATTTACCACCCCCCTGTTTGTTGTAAAGGAATGTACAGCTCTTTGGGTGCCATTTATCCGTGGGGTGCCATTTATTCCAACGGTACCATATAAGGATATATTAATAAGGCTTCGGTACCATATAAGGAGATATTAATAAGGCTCGGTACCATATAAGGATATATAAATAAGGCTTCGGTACCATATAAGGATATATTAATAAGGCTTCGGTACCATATAAGGATATATTAATAAGGCTTCGCTCATTACTTTGTGCTGAGACTTTATATCCCAAAATACTGTATGAAAAATGCAGAGTGTCCAAAAAGTCTCTACAACAATTCAAAGTCTGTAAAGTGTAAAGATACTTTACGAACACCCTGTATATTAATTATCATTCTGAATTTTGACTTTCAATTCTATATTTTCATTTTTTAAATAAGAAGACATAAGCAACTGTTCTCTTCTATTTAATTGTGTATAATGGCATCTGTTTCTCTCTGGTTTAAATGATGCATAGAATGTTCCATCCTCCACATTGAAAACTGTTTGCTCAGTATATTTATTTATTGACATTTCAGTCTCAAATTTTTACTTTAGAGATGAAGCATCAAATATATCTCTAACCATTCTGAAAAAATATTTGATGTGATTAACAATCTTATTATGACTTCTTATCTTCTTTACAGCCGCTAGTACAGTGAATCCAGGGGGAACACAAGGCAGTCACACCACCAAAAGTTCTGTAAGCGTCACAAGCTGGGATTCCGATGAAGATCTTGATTTGGATGACCTCTAGTTGACCGTGAGACCTCTGGATGACCTTATGACCTCTGGATGACCCTTGTGATCTCCATATGACCTCTGGCTGGCACTTGTGACCTCTGGATGACCCTTATGAGCTCTAGATAACCTCTAGTTGACTGTGAGACCTCTGGATGACCATGTGACCTCTGGATGACCCTTGTGATCTCCATATGACCTTGTGACCTCTGGCTGACCCTTGTGACCTCTGGATGACCATTATGACCTCCAGATGACCCCTGTGATCTATAGATGACTATATATGGCTCATATGATTTCTAAATTAACCAGAGTTACAATAGCCTCTTAAAAGCCTAAGGACTCAGCTGCACTTCACTGGATTTGAACCAATGACCTCCTATTTTTCAATAACACATCTTCCTGGCAAGTTCCTTTTCTCAGTAGAAACCAGGGATTGTAGTCAGTTTTTTGAGTATACTCGACTGCTATGAATAAATAGCATGTGATTGTAAACTACAAGTGAATTAATCAGGGTAGATCAGTTATTTGTATTATAACCAGCAAACTTTTTGCTAACATTGGAACTTACATATATCAATGAATAGCAATTTTTTAGTTTGATCATTTCTAAATATTTTAGTATATTCTCTAGAAATACTCATAAACACATCAAGAATCATCAAGTTTTAGCTAAATTAGACAATTTGTCTTTAAGATTTAAATGATGCACAGATACTAGTTTTCTGCATGAAAAAATCAAAATTCTGCAAAAAATTCTGCAAGAAAAAAAGCAAATTCTGCAAGGAGAAAATCGAAATTCTGCACAAATTTTCAAAAAAAGTCCAAATTCTGCAATCTTTTAAAACGATGAAAATCGTTTAAATTCGCTAAAGCGAGTTCGCTAATGACGCGCAGTTCTTACCTAGAAATTTTCATTTCTAAGTAAGAACTGCGCGTCATTAGCGAACTCGCTTTAGCGAATTTAAACGTGATAGAATGTTGAATTTCACGGTGAAATCGTACTTGTACTCAATAATGATTGATTGTTGGACATAAACAGACACTCTTCAAATACCCCGCAAAGGTAGGAGATCGTAAAATATGTAATTTCTGGAAATTATGGTAATTCCGTGGGATTTTCATGAAAATCAGGGATTCTGCAAAAAATTGAAGTTTTGTCAAATTCCGTCCACGCCGCGGAATTACGGAATAATAGTATCTATGTTTAAACAAGATGTATTGATATTTAAGAAAAAATGAAATTTCAGAAATATTTAGTGTATTTGAGTACCGGTATGTATTAAATTGTAATATGGAATGTATTCAGGATTTAGTAATATGGCTTATTAATGAAATGTATTTGGGATACGTCTAAATGTATTGAATTTAAATAAGTAATATGAGATGAATTGAATTTAAGTAAATAATAATAAATGTTTTAATTCATGGATATTATATGAAATGTATCTGATTTAAGTAAATAGATATGAAATGTATTGAATTTAAGACACTTGAAATGTATTGAATTTAAGGCACTTGAAATGTATTGAATTTAAGTAAATAATATTATATGTATTAAATTCATGGATATTATATGAAATGTATCTGATTTAAGTAAATAGATATGAAATGTATTGAATTTAAGTAAATTATATTAAATGTATTAAATTCATGGATATTATATGAAATGTATCTGATTTAAGTAAATAGATATGAAATGTATTGAATTTAAGTAAATTATATTAAATGTATTAAATTCATGGATATTTTATGAAATGTATCTGATTTAAGTAAATAGATATGAAATGTATTGAATTTAAGACACTCAAAATGCATTGAATTTAGGACACTTGAAATTTATTAAATTTAAGATACTTGAAATGTATTGAATTAAAGTAATATGAAATATTTTAGTGTACGTCGAGTGTAATGTGAAATGCTTTTGCATTCATATATATTTCTTGTATGTAAATACAGTACCATCCAACCCAGAAAAGGTGCTTAAAGTGAAACTCAAAAAAGAAAAATCAATGGAGTTCCACTCTGTATTCTTCCTAGGATTAAAGTCTTGACTGATTTTTGGTTACTTTTCAGGCCCGTAGCCAGGATTTGTCAAGGAGGGTTCACTTTTTAAAATATTCCAGGGGGGTTCACTTTTGATATCTTTGGCCCAAAATGGCCAAAATCATGTGAAAGTGCTCAGACTGGTGAAAAACTGCATGATTTTGGAAGAATTTTTGGCCAGGGGTCGCTTGATCCCCCTGACTACGAGCCTGCTTTTTATTCCTGTACCATAATAGCCTGTACAAATTTTACAACCATTTTGAATGGCTTGGCTTGATGTATTATAAGCCATATGACTGATTGTCTCATATGACTGACTAAATTTTTTACTAAAAATGTAAAGATGATTATTTTCCAAATACTGTACATGTAATTGTAAGATAAAAAAAATTGTATTATAACTGAGGCTTATATTTTAAAAAGTAATGAGGCGCTGAAAAAAACATTGAAATCTCCACGACAACAGGTGCATGCTTTCGATCCATTTTTGAAAAAGTATAGCAATTTTAGTTGTAAAATATTCCTTCCGATTTTGCGCTTGTAGTCCAAGCCTTTGATTTTTATAATATAAATACTCGATGTTTTTACCGTAAAATGTACTTCATACATGTATGTATTATCTTGTAAATGTACTTCATACATGTATGTATTCTCTTGTAAATGTACTTCATACATGTATGTATTCACTTGTAAATGTACTTCATACATGTATGTATTATCTTGTAAATGTACTTCATACGTGTATGTATTATCTTGTAAATGTACTTCATACATGTATGTATTATCTTGTAAATGTACTTCATAAGTGTATGTATTATCTTGTAAATGTACTTCATACAAGTATGTATTATCTTGTAAATGTACTTCATACATGTATGTATTATCTTGTGAATGTACTTCATACATGTATGTATTATCTTGTAAATGTACTTCATACATGTATGTATTATCTTGTTAGTGTACTTCATACATGTATGTATTATTATCCCATCGAACGAAGTTCGGAGGGATATAGGGAACGCCTCCGTCCGTCCGTCCGTCCGTCCGTACATACGTCCGTCCGTCCGTCCGTCCGTCCGTACGTCCGTCCGTCCGTCCGTCCGGGCAATAACTCAAATACCGCTGACCCGATTTTGTTCATATTTTGTACACATATACCCTATGGGGATAGAAGTTCTGCTCGAAAGCCGATTTTCAAAATGGCCGCTCATTTCAAAATGGCGGCCATTTTAGTGCCTAATTTACAGTAATTTAGGTGCAATATGTAAAACTGTAATAGCAATATGTTTTAGATGTAAAAAAAATATATGGGACATTAATAAAGCTAGAAATGTAGATATTAAAGAAGCACATGGCAGCCATCTTGAAAAATGGCGGCCTTTACTCGTTATTTTACGATTTTTGCTGTAACTCGAAAAGTAGTGGAGCGATTTTGTTCATATTTTGTATGTGAATACTATAAACATTGCACACTGTCTAAAGACACTTTTGGTAGAAAGTGGCCATTTTAAAAAATGACCGCCATTTTGAAAAATGGCCGCCATTTTAACCTATTTTACTATAACTCGAAAAGATGTGAAGCGATTTTGTTCATATTTGGTATGTGAATACTATAAGGATGGCACACTGTCTAATGACACTTTTGGTAGAAGGCGGCCATTTTTCAAAATGGCCGCCATTTTAACGTATTTTACTATAATTCGAAAAGTAGTGAAGCGATTTTGTTCATATTTGGTATGTGAATACTGTAAGCATGGCACACTGTCTAATGACACTTTTGGTAGAAGGCGGCCATTTTTCAAAATGGCCGCCATTTTAACGTATTTTACTATAACTCGAAAAGTAGTGGAGCGATTTTGTTCATATTTGGTATGTGAATACTATAAGTATGGCAAATGGTCTAATGACACTATTGGTAGAAGGCGGCCATTTTGAAAAATGCCTGCCATTTTTGCTATATACTTTGTTTGTAAAAATGCCATCCATGGCTGTTCGATGGGATTCGCTACGCTTTGGCATTGCCGTTGTTCTGGTCTTGTAAATGTACTTCATACATGTATGTATTATCTTGTAAATGTACTTCATACATGTATGTATTATCTTGTTAGTGTACTTCATACATGTATGTATTATCTTGTAAATGTACAGTGTTCTTTTTAAGGTAGAATCAAGGTACAGTAAATATGTGTACATGACTACTGTACTTGACTGCACTATACATGTACTTGACTGCACTATACATGTACTTGACTGCACTATACATGTACTTGACTACACTATACATGCACTTGACCGCACTATACATGTACTTGACTGCACTATACATGTACTTGACTGCACTATGCATGTACTTGACTGCACTATGCATGTACTTGACTGCACTATACATGTACCCGACTGCACTATACATGTACTTGACTGCACTATACATGTACTTGACTGCACTATACATGTACTTGACTGCACTATACTTGATTCTATTGTACTTGACTGAGCAGAATATTCCATCCTTTTAACATGCAAAGTGAATGGTTTAATTTCATTTGAAATACAGGTTCTATTTCACTGGTGCTTGCTTGATTTTACTCAATTTGCCCAGTTTTACAAGTAAAGTAATACACATGTTTTAAATGTGTATAATGTAATAAAAATACTGGTTTATGTGTGTGTTGAGAAATGGCTTTGAATGTTTAAGTGTCTGCAACTTTTGGTAATCCATCTGATTTTTTGATGGATTTCTGTCTCTTCTTTATAAGGTTCTCCTACTGGCATTCAATTTATGCCAATAAATTTTACTTTATTCCTTGCTAATTCCACTCATTTCTCTCTAAAATTTGAATGAACTGTCTCATTTTCTTGCATTTTTATACAATTTATAGTGTTGACTACATGTCGGTTTATTTTATTCCTTGCTGATTCCACTCTTTTCCACTCTATTTTGCATTTTGAACATTGCTCCTATAACCGTGCATCACAAAGAGAATCAATAGAAATCAAAATAGAAATGTTGCATTGCAAACTTTTCCAACATGACAGATAGAATTCATGTAAACAAATACTGAAATAAATGTACTTTACAATGATCAGGGGTAGGAATGTATCATAGCTTATAATTTACACTCCCCTCTTAAAGTATGGCAACCTTGTATTTTATTTACCCGACTCCCAATTGGATCGATTGTTAAAGCCTATTCATTTGTTTGAAATAAATTTTTTCATTTCTCCTTCACTTTCATAAAAATAGGGGAGAAATTTTTGATTTGATGATTTTTTACAATCACCCATCTTAAACAGGCGCTACACATGGTCCAATATTGGAGTAAGAGTTGCCAAACTTTTGGAGGGAGTGTATTTAACCTTTGTGAAAGATTTGATCTGACAGATCGTTACCGTCCAAACTACTTGCAACTTTTACTCCTCATATTTTGTAATCATATTGTATATAGTATTTGCATGTGTGAATGAAGATATCTCCTGCAATATGTAGCCCAGATAATTCAGTAGATGAAAGGGGTGGGGTCATTAGAGGTTTTATAATTCTCATGCCATTTTGAAGCAAATGCTCCTTTTGGCATAACAGTGAGGTACTTTTATGGGGGTTGTTTATTTAGTTTTAAAAGATAAATACACTCCCCTCCATAAGTTTGGCAACCTTTTTCCCAATATACTATACCTGAGCATGATAAACAAACATGCATAGGATAATATACCTTATATTTTTGGCCAAAAAGGTATCCATATCCTTTATCTCACCAGACTTCCTCGATCCCCCCCCCCTTTTTTACTGTTTTTATCAGTTTATGTGAATATAATGAACTCGACTCAATTTTTGCCATATTTTGGGGCAATGTGTTGGACTGTATTTCCAGACCAGTTAAGAGCCCTCCTAATCTTATGGTTTATATTTGTAAAAAAAATTCTTCAAATTATTTGCATAAAATATGTATAAGTACGTATAAAAATGCATTTCTATACATAATTATGATAATTGATAAATAAATATACATTTGTATATAGTTCTGTACAAATATTTATAATTAAATAAATGAACAGAAAATTGTATATTAGACTTATTATAAAACTAACTTTCAGACTTTTGTTTATTTATTGTACAAATACATGTATTACACTTGGTTCTTTTGAGGTAATTGTTACATAGAAGACATTTTCATTAAAAAAATAATCAATTTTGTTCCATAAAAAAGCTAATTATTCTGCGTTTTGGTTTCAATTGTTTTGTTTGTATAATAATTGTTAGAAATTTCAATGAAACTCCTGTATTCACATATGCTAATTATTCTGCGTTTTGGTTTCAATTGTTTTGTTTGTATAATAATTGTCAGAAATTTCAATGAAACTCCTGTATTCACATTTGCTAATTATTCTGCGTTTTGGTTTCAATTGTTTTGTTTGTATAATAATTGTCAGAAATTTCAATGAAATTCCTGTATTCACATATGCTAATTATTCTGCGTTTTGGTTTCAATTGTTTTGTTTGTATAATAATTGTCAGAAATTTCAATGAAATTCCTGTATTCCTATTTGCTTGTTTGACAAGCTTTTGGCATTTTGACATTATAACAAAAATATACAGTATAAGTATTGACATTGTTAAAAATGTATTGACATTATAACAAAAGTATTGACATTATTAAAAATGTATTGACAATATAACGTACATTTAAGTATTGACGATAAGAGAACATTACAATTCATAAATAACAAATGAAACATGCATATAATTCTGATGAATTTTGTAACTGGCTTTGCATCATTTACTCACCATGAATATTCAATACTACTTCCCTAAAACCTGATTTTTTGGCATGAGTTTAATTTAATGTTTTTTTACTTCGTTCCTTATTAAGTAAAAATATATCTTCATAGGACTTAATACTAATTGTGCCAGTAAGACGACAGTTTTTGGACATTCTGTGAAAAACAACAAGGGTTTACATTGTATAGAAGTTTAACTAATATGAAGAAAACATTACAATTCAATGAAAGATTTAATTTCATGATATTTTCCAAATGAGATCTTTAATTTTCTGACATTTCAGTATAGTTCCCATGTCCATATATGGCATATATGTCCATATATGGCATATGGATTGACCAGCAGCAGAGATGAAAAATTTTGACAAAATTTCTACTTTCAACTGATTCCATTTTGATACTTGCTGTTTCATTAAACAGTCACCTACCACCCCTTCATACTACTCGGATTATTATGGATGGACTCTTCCAATATATTTTTGGGAAAGTTCATTCTAGCGTAGGGGTGTTACACTGTATCACCTTTCTTGTATAAAAACAGCTTCTTGGGGAAATAGTCCGGCTTCTTTGAGTGTGATGTCATAATTGAGTAAAGATAAACGTCTTCGTGGAAAGTTTGTTACAAGTTCATATTTTTCATTTGAGTATCCTTTGTGTATGACGTACTGAACCAGCGCCTGAAAGTAAAATAAATTCATCTCGTCAAATCATAGAAAACCTCATAGATTTTACCATACCGTGCACCAATTCATTTAGGGATTTATTTACAAACTTTCTCAGAAAAAATAAATCTTGCAAATTCGGTGAATATTCATGATATTCAAGCAAAAATTGTCTACTCCCCCTCCATTCATTATTTCAAATTACCAGGAGTGCTTTCATTGATATAAAATTGACCCCTTAAATTGGCATCCCAAAATAAGCCTTAGCTAATTTCTTTTTAGCTAATTTTTTCAAATCTAGTGATGTTATTTACCATGAGTTGAGATGTAGCCGGCATAGTTAATTGCTCTTTATGGTTATCCGGAAATCTGAGCACTAAACTGCTACTTTCATCCGATTCATTTCCGAGGTATTCCCGCCATGTCTCCTTTTTCCCGCCATCTTCTCCATTCAGGTGGTTGATTTCTGAGTTAGTGTCTTTCGAGGTATTTATTGTTTCCTTTTCAGTAGTGGGTTTGTGTTTTAGTGATGACTTGGTTACAGTGGAAGATGGTTGAGATCTTGAGCTGTAATACATAATGAATGATTAAATTTACATGACTATTGGGGATATACCAAATGTGAAGGGTGCGTCATAATAATTTTGTGTTTTTTAAACGTCTTTTTCATCACCTTAATCTGGGCGGGTATATAAATAATATAACAATTAACAATTTCAGTCATTGACAATAGTGAATGATTCGATGTACCAAGTTTTTTGCACATCTGAAATAGAGAGCTTTGAGAGCAGATAAGTATTATATCTAAACATATGTAAACGTAATTTTCCCAAACCAAAACATGGAGACGGAAGGATGAATTTTTGGCCAAATGGGAGGGATGAGTTTTTGCCCAAAGGGAAACAGCAAACATTCTTCCCGCCTATATAAAGCCTATCAGAACAAAATTATGAAAATGTGGTACTTTTCAAGCGCAACAACAATGGAGTGTCATGTTCATGGGCGTAGCGCCTATTACGCAAAATACGCACGGGTGTACCAAATGAATTTGAAAACAATTAAAAATGTGTTAAAATGCATTGATTTATTTGCGAATTTATTGATGCTTCCTACCGTATCTGTATGTTTAAAAAATTTAATTTTATTTAAATAAAAATATTTCGCGGGGATGATCATACCCCCAGACCCCCCGTGATGCGCGACCTTCGGCCACACAATCAAGCATCCCCGAGTGTGCGTACCAACTCAAAATATAGCCCTACGCCCATGATGTTCTAATTATTGTAGACAAGATACTAACCAAGATGTCTGTTTTTTAGTCTTAACTGGGCTGTTAGTCACTTCTGTATCAGAATCTGTAAAGGTCTCTAAATCACTGCATTCTGATTGGCTATCAGAGTCATGTGATTTGATATGAATGTCCTTATTTGGGCTTACATTTTGCACTAGTGACATCTTTATTGCTGCTTCCATCTGAGAATCTTCACTGTGGTCAATGATACTACTCTGAAAATTAAAAATTGAAAATTGACAAAGTACATCTACAGTTGCTGTACTTTGATTGGTTAATTTTAGTGTGAACCAACTGTAAAAAGGCCTTATTTGGAACCAAACGTATATCATTTATCAATAAGGTTAAGCTCCCAGCATTCTTTATAAATTTGGTAACAATATTACTAATACGATTATGTTTATCTCCAGACTACATGTTTCAACTAGAGATGAACATTATGGTAGTATTATTACCAAATTGGTCAATGCCAGTCAAAAGAAGATCACCAAAAAATGCCGGGTACCAATTCTCATTGATCTGTTATACTACTAAAAAAATTAACAAAGTACTGCACTTTGATTGGCCAGTTCTAGTATCATGTGACTATAAGAATGTCCTTATATGGGCATACACTTATATCTACCACAATATAGTGAATGGGTCATCAAGAGACAACTTTGTACTTACTGAGCGTTCTTTGCATTTAACTGGACTAGGAGAGGTACCATTTGGGGAAGGGTGTTCGGACAGGAAACTTGATACTTTATCGCAAAATGAGACAGCATCGAGTTTGTTCCAGATAACCATATTTTCACCTAAAAATACGCAAAATATTAAGTATTAAATTTTTTTAAAATAACAATTATGAATTACATATTTAAACAATGAAGTTCTAATCAATTGTATAATAAAAAAACTTAATGATGATTTACTACCTAAATGAATCTGATTCATACCACTCAGTCAACTTAAGAACTATTTTAAAAAACACTTATGTTGAAGCTACAGGTAAGTCTATGTCCAACTATACAATGATAACTATGTGTTTTCAGTTAATATATAATCAAAATATATTGGTTTTAAAAAGTGTCTTGTCAGCTCCAAACGTCCAAAGTACAGCATGTGTAAAGTAGGACGCTAATATATTTAATGATTGTTAGGCATCCAAACTGAGTGACTCGTCCGAAATATGGGCAATGGTTTGGACCAGTGGAGAATTGCAATAGGAACATTCAATATGAAAGCATTGATAAACATTGTAAAGTCGCCATCAAAAGAGGATGAGCCAGCAAGATCATTTGCCTTCTTGATGGTGCTGTCTCTGTTGTTGGTAATGGGCGGAGTTGAAATAAACCCCGGTCCTAAAACATCCAGTAATGGTGAGTTTAAATTTAATGTTAACATTAACTAGGAAGTTAAGCATTTCAAAAGATCGATATTGGAAAATTAACTGTATTTAAAAAGTAAATGCTTCCTGTTTACAATATCATTCACACTCTTATACCTCAGCCAGAATTCTTTTATACATTGTAGATTATATTATGTATTTTGAATAACTTTAATAAAATATGTTTACGATCGAGGGCAAAAGAGTGTAATGTTGATGTGTATGTCATCGTGAGAGACGGGGTAACTTCGACACTTACTTATTAGAAGTAGAATTTCCATTTTTCGCCATGTCTGATTTCTTGAAAATAAGAATCTCGAGAGATCTCTATCCATGCCAGAAACAAGGCACAGACGTGAACAATATCGTACCTAAAACACAGCATTGTGGTCTTGTTGACCAATAAAGCAAGATGGCCGCAGAAAAGTTAATCAGCTCTAGAACTTATCACTGTGTAACATATGTAAAAATTTGAACGGTTTGGCTGGAAACCTGTAGACAAGTCTTGAAAGTGAAGATTTTAGGACGGAAAATCCAAAATGGCCACCTTCAAATTTACCCAGAATGCCCAAAAACCAATCAGTTCTTGACGTTGATATGTAGAAACATCCCTGAAAATTTCAGATGAATCCCTCAAAAGGTTTGGCTGGAAACCTGTAGACAAGTCTTGAAAGTGAAGATTTTAGGACAGAAAATCCAAAATGGCCACCTTAAAATTTAACCAGAATGCCCAAAAACTAATCAGTTCTTGACATTGATATGTAGAAACATCCCTGAAAATTTCAGATGAATCCCTCAAAAGGTTTGGCTGGAAACCTGTAGACAAGTCTTGAAAGTGAAGATTTTAGGACGGAAATCCAAAATGGCCACCTTAAAATTTACCCAGAATGCCCAAAAACTAATCAGTTCTTGACGTTGATATGTAGAAACATCCCTGAAAATTTCAGATGAATCCCTCAAATGGTTTGGCTGGAAACCTGTAGACAAGTCTTGAAAGCGAAGATTTTAGGACGGAAAATCCAAAATGGCCACCTTAAGATTTACCCAGAATGCCCAAAAACTAATCAGTTCTTGACATTGATATGTAGAAACATCCCTGAAAATTTCCAATTAATCCCTCAAATGGTTTGGCTGGAAACCTGTAGACAAGTCTTGAAAGTGAAGATTTTAGGATGGAAAATCCAAAATGGCCACCTTAAGATTAACCCAGAATGCCCAAAAACTAATCAGTTCTTGACGTTGATATGTAGAAACATCTCTGAAAATTTCAGATGAATCCCTCAAATGGTTTGGCTGAAAACCTGTAGACAAGTTTTGAAAGTGAAGATTTTAGGACGGAAAATCCAAAAATGGCCACCTTAAGATTTACCCAGAATGCCCAAAAACTAATCAGTTCTTGACGTTGATATGCAGAAACATCCCTGAAAATTTCAGATGAATCCCTCAAATGGTTGGCTGGAAACCTGTAGACAAGTCTTGAAAGTGAAGATTTTAGGACGGAAAATCCAAAATGGCCATCTTAAGATTTACCCAGAATGCCCAAAAACTAATCAGTTCTTGACGTTGATATGTAGAAACATCCCTGAAAATTTCAGATGAATCCCTCAAATGGTTTGGCTGGAAACCTGTAGACAAGTCTTGAAAGTGAAGATTTTAGGACGGAAAATCCAAAATGGCCACCTTAAGATTTACCCAGAATGCCCAAAAACTAATCAGTTCTTGACGTTGATAAGTAGAAACATCCCTGAAAATTTCAGATGAATCCCAGAAATGGTTTGGCTGGAAACCTGTAGACAAGCTGAAAAGTGAGATGCCGCCCGCCGCCGGCCAGCCCGTCAAGCTGACTACAATATCGTACCTTTTGTTAGGTACGATAAAAAACATGGCTTCCCTCTAGATTGAAATTTAGAGCAAATAAACAACAAGGTGTCAAAGTTACCCCAGGTGTCGAAGTTACCCAAAAATGGCGTCGACATTACACCCCTTTGCCCTATATATTTTATTATGATATATTAATCAATACAAGAATCACGGGGTACCATCGAATAATTTTGGCAACGTACCGGAGAACGACATTTTACTAAGAAATTTCAATAATTTAGCACAATATATTTTTTAACTATATTTACAAAATAGAACTCTAGTTAAAAAATATATTGTGCTAAATTATTGCCATTTCTTAGTAAAATGTCGTTCTCCGGTACGTTGCCAAAATTATTCGATGGTACCCCGTGAGAATAGATACTTTATAGGCCTTCGTACAATGTAGTTAGTAAAATATTGAGAAACAATTTTTTATCACATGTATGTCATTTACAAGTGGAATTGAAGATATGCCTTACATGTTTAAAAATAAAATTGACAATGATGAAATATTAGCAATTCATGACCTATCTTTTAATTGGTTATATGTCTTTTAATGGTACTTCATATGTTACTTCTAAAACTATAGAATTTGATAAGGGGTGAGTTTTAAAAGGGACACATTTTTTGACCTGTCCTATACTAAGTACAGTATATTCAAAGTTAAAATTAATCCTTCAATCAATGAACAAATGACGTATTTCAGAGATAACCCAAAAAATGTATGATCTTGGCTGTAAAATCAAAGAATGCGACCGTGAAACTGAATTAAAGAAACAGGCAGATCTCATGTGTGAACTAGGTGATGAGTTTATAACATCAGCTGAATCTTCGTCGATCTGGTATGAACATTATGTCTGGGCATCAGGGCTCTTTAACGCTGCAAGATGTCGAATGGAGAAGGTCCAGAATCAGTCAACTGGAGTCCTTTCCATGACTACATTATTGCAAGGTATTGGACTGATGAACCTGGAGTCTGAGACAATATACGATCAACACTACATTGATGAAAGAATCCAAAAAATTGAAACAGAATTTCTTAAGAAGTTATCGAAGGCAGCTAAAGTTCCAACAAAAGAATCAACCAAGAAGTACAAAGAAGAGCTTGAATGTATCCGTGAGTACTCTACTGAGACTGTAAATGACATCATAAACAATGATATGATCCTTGATGACATCACCTCAGAAATGAAGGTCAAGGATGAAGATAACACGATTAAGAACAGCCAGAGTTTCTATGATGAGCTCACAAATAAACTTTTGGCATTTTATACCTCTATGATCAATGATTCTATGTCAACCTTAGGGTATCCTGATTGTAAATTTGCAATGATAGCACTTGGGTCAGTATCTCGGAAAGAGGTTACTGTATATTCTGATTTAGAGTGGGCAATTTTGTATGATCCATTAGATAAACCAGTAGACCTTGTTAAAAATCAACTGCGTATGATAGTCCATTATGTGCACCTGAAAGTCCTTAATCTTGGGGAGACCATTTTGAACAACTTGGACATTCCAGTACTGACGGACTTCAATGACTTTTTGCCTTCAGGTATGCATAATGTGGACTTTTGGGATGAGGATACTACTCGGGGGATCTCATTTGATGGGACACATCCCTCTGCAAGTAAAACTCCCATAGGGAGAAAGTCTAAGAGTCCCAAGAGTAACAAATCACCTAAATTAGAGCTCATTATGACACCAGATGAAATGTCACAATATCAATTAACTGAAGTAGCATTTAAAGAAGGTTATCGCCTTGGGGATGTTTTGATGAACTCAACTTTAATCACAGGGGATGAGGGTCTCTGGCATGAATACAATGATAAGGTTCATTCCATATTAAACTCACAAACTAAGAAATCAAATGTATCTGTAGGTAAGGAAAGGGCAATGAAAACTCTCAAAGATGATTTAGAAAAGTATGCAAAACACCCACTAACTAGTAAATCATTTATCAAAGAAATACATGCCAAACACGATGTTTACAGACTGGCAACAATCTCTATTAACATCCTCAAGCTATTGCATGGTTGTAAATCCTTTGCTCCCTTAGATGTATTGGAAGAATTATTTGAAAAGAAAATACTCACTGAGAGAGCAAAAAAGGATTTGCAGATCATGGTTTGCATTGCCACTAATCTTAGACATATGGTATACAACCAATATAAACAACAGAAAGAAAATATTTCATTTCTGCTCAGGGAATCTGACAAAGGCACATCGGATTCAACATCAGTTCTACCTGTTCGTGGTTATTCTGCTATTCTCAGATTTTACATAACATTCATGTCATGGTCTGAATACCTTGTTTCTTGGGTAAAAGACAATAAAACATGGATACATAGAGATAGATATATAGAAGACAGTAATACAGTGAAGGGAGAACTATACAGTAATCTGAACTTTTCTGAAAGAGCATTATTCTCATACAAAGCAGAACTACAAAGATGCTTAAATATGGGTACAAGTAGAAATGATGTGGAAATAGCTTATCTCAAATCAAATATTGGTGATATTTATGAAATTCAGGGTAAATTTGAAGATGCTTTAGAATTCCTTCAGCAAAGTTTAGAAATGAGAAAAGTTATTCATTGCAATAATCCTCATCCAAATGTTGCATCATCACTTCACAGTATAGGGCTTGTGTATCAGAAACTAGGAGAATACACTAAAGCAATGAAGTACTATGAGGAGAGCTTACAAATGGAACGTCACATCCATGGTTCCAATCCTCATCCAAGTGTTGCATCATCACTTCACCAAATAGGAATTGTCTATCAGAAACAAGGAGAATACACTAAAGCAATGAAGTACTATGAGGAGAGCTTACAAATGAAAAGTCACATCCATGGTTCCAATCCTCATCCAGCTGTTGCATCATCTCTTCATCAGATAGGTTGTGTCTATCAGGAACTAGGAGAATACACTAATGCAATGAAGTACTATGAGGAGAGCTTACAAATGGAACGTCACATTCATAGTAACAATCCTCATCCAGCTGTTGCATCATCACTTCACAATATAGGAGCTGTCTATCAGAAACTAGGAGAATACACTAAAGCAATGAAGTACTATGAGGAGAGCTTACAAATGAAAAGTCACATCCATGGTTCCAATCCTCATCCAGCTGTTGCATCATCTCTTCATCAGATAGGTTGTGTCTATCAGGAACAAGGAGAATACACTAAAGCAATGAAGTACTATGAGGAGAGCTTACAAATGGAACGTCACATTCATAGTAACAACCCTCATCCATCTGTTGCATCATCTCTTCACCAGATAGGTTGTGTCTATCAGGAACAAGAATAATACACTAAAGCAATGAAGTACTATGAGGAGAGCTTACAAATGAATCAGCATATTCATGGTAACTCTCCTCATCCAGCTGTTGCATCATCTCTTCACAATATAGGAGCTGTCTATCAGGAACAAGGAGAATACACTAAAGCAATGAAGTACTATGAGGAGAGCTTACAAATGAAACGTCACATCCATGGTAACAATCCTCATCCAGCTGTTGCATCATCACTTGGTCAGATAGGTTGTTTCTATCAGCAACTAGGAGAATACACTAAAGCAATGAAGTACTTCAATGAATGTTTAGCTATTCAAAGGCAAGTATTCAGTAATGATACACATCCAGAAGTGGCAAGAACCTTCAGAAATATAGCCATTTGCCAGAAGCAAATGAGTAATTAACATTTAAAAGCAGCAACATAGATCATCCCAGATCATACAATACATCATCATAAATCATACAACAATACATAACACAATTGCAAGGAATTAAAATAATTACAAAGATTACACTTTGTCATAGAAATAAAAGGCAGAATCTGATCTATAGGGGTGACAAAATTACAAACAACATGTACAATTGACCTACCAATCTATTCCTTACAATATCAAATACAATGTCTCCCAAAATATCACTTGTGAGAAATAGAGTATTCAACCATTTGGTAGTACAATGCTGGAATTCTAGCAAAGATGTGATAATATCAAACACCAAGATAAAAAAATAGACCAAGAGAAATTTATGTTTATATATGCAACATTAACAACTATCTCTCAACAGTATAGTTCTTTCATATTTTAATTGCAAGGACAATTCCAGTGATATTGAACATTCATTTGACATTCTATGGAATAACTAGCTCAATGAGAGATTAGTCAATGTCTACATGCCATCCCAACATATTTCATGAGTACATTTCAGAATGACTTCTCCCCCTCTTTTTTCTAAATGTAATTGAACATTGAAAAGGTTGCTTTTTCAAATAAATGGGTTGAATATAAAACCTGTCAAAGTGGAACATATTTGGTAAAAACTTTCCACCTGGGAATTGTTCCACTTATAGAGGTTCATTTCACATGAAGTCAGTTGGTCTTGGGACTTTGAAAAGTGTTCCACTGACAGAGGTGTTTCCTTTTATAGAGGTTCATTTAACATAAAGTCAGTTGGCTCTGGAAATCTGAAGTGTTCCACTAACCGAGTTGTTCCACTTCTAGAGGTGTTCCACTGAACATGTTTCACTGTATCAAGATGCAATAGACAAAATGCAATAGACTTTCCACAATGTTTCAATATAATCAACCAAAAAATCAGCAACTCAATGGAGTAGTAAATCCCATCAAACAAAACATATTTCATCAATCAAATAACTCCTCATTTTCATTTCAAGATAGAAATGCTTAGGCATCTGTACATCTCATTTTGGCACAATCTACACTCTTACATGACTTAAAAGCCAAACAAATTGGGGATGTAATATCCATGTTATGATAAATTTTTCATGAAAAAATGCCAGCACTTTCATTTGAGAAACTATTCTGAATAAATGTCATATTAAGAGGGATGGATGGACAAACAGACTGACGGACAGAGGGCTTCGCTATATCCCTACCAAACTCCATTTGTTGGGATAATAGGGTGTACAATATAAACTTTCATACTCATCAACTGTCGTCAGCAATTTAGAAAAAATTTTAACAAAATGTACATCTTTTATTTAGAGCTCTTTAGAAAACTTTGCATTTGTAATCATGTTTCAAGACAATTGTTGCTTCAGAATATTAAATATTTCACCAATATGATTGTATAGAATATTGTATATTGACCCAAGTGATGGTTTAGAACATTGAGTATTTTACCAATGTGATTGTTAAGAATATTGTATATTGACCCATGTGATGGTCTAAAACACTGAATATTTTACCAATGTGATTGTTTAGAATATTGTATATTGACCCATGTGATGGTTTAGAACATTGAGTATTTTACCAATGTGATTGTTTAGAATATTGTATATTGACCAATGTGATGGTTTAGAACATTGAGTATTTTACCAATGTGATTGTTTAGAATATTGTATATTGACCCATGTGATGGTTGAGAACATTGAGTATTTTACCAATGTGATTGTTTAGAATATTGTATATTGACCCATGTGATGGTTTAGAACATTAAATATTTCACCAATATTATTGTTAAGAATATTGTATATTGACCCAAGTGATGGTTGAGAACATTGAGTATTTTACCAATGTGATTGTTTAGAATATTGTATATTGACTCAAGTGATGGTTCGGAAATTGAATATTTTACCTATGTGATTGTTAAAAATACTGTACATTGACCAAAGTGATGGTATAGAACATTGAATATTTTACCAAAGTGATTGATTAGAATATTGTATATTGACTCAAGTGATGATTTAGAGCATTGAGTATTTTACCAAAGTGATTGTTTAGAATATTGTACATTGACCCAAGTAATGGTTTAGAACATTGAATATTTTACCAATGTGATTGTTTAGAATGTTGTATATTGACCCAAGTGATGATTAAGAACATTGAGTATTTTACCAATGTGATTGTTTAGAATATTGTATATTGACCCAAGTGATGGTTGAGAACATTGAGTATTTTAACAAAGTGATTGTTTAGAATATTGTATACTGACTCAAGTTATGGTTCAGAACATTGAATGTTTTAACAATGTGATTGCTTAGAATATTTTACATTGACCCAAGTGATGATTTAGAACATTGAGTATTTTACCAATGTGATTGTTGAAAATACTGTACATTGACCCAAGTGATGATTTGGAACATTGAGTATTTTACCAATGTGATTGTTTAGAATATAGTATATTGACCCAAGTGATGATTAAGAACATTGAGTATTTTACCAATGTGATTGTTTAGAATATTTTATATTGATCCAAGTAATGATTTAGAACATTGAGTATTTTACCAATGCGATTGTTGAAAATACTGTACATTGACCCAAGTGATGGTATGGAACATTGAGTATTTTACCAATGCGATTGTTGAAAATACTGTACATTGACCCAAGTGATGGTTCAGAACATTGAACATTTTACGCACTGACCAATGATGGTTCAGATTATTGTATATTTAACCAATGTTTTGTGAATGTAAATACATTAGCTTTGAATTATGTAATACAACAGAAAATATATGATTACAAACCTAATGTGATTATGACCTCTGATTCATGCATGAAATATATATAATATCCACACTTTCTTATTGTGACTGTAATGGAGGGTTATTATGTACTGGAATGATACACACTGGTGGTATACGTCTCAGTTCACTCTTACAAACGAACAATGATTTAACAATTCAATTTCTGATAAATCACCACTGTCACAATGTAAAAACAGTAAATTATTTCAGAAAATCATTTATGATTTACAGCTTGAAAGGAAAATGTAAAGCTCAATAAATTGTTAAGGTTTCAATAATAATCTAAAATGCCCTTAAATTGAGAACACATTCAGTTGGGTATTGTTCAGTACATATTCTTGTCCATATATTATCCATATTTAATCTTTGTATCATAACCTGTGACTATAATGGAGGATATTATGTACTGGGTACTGGAATGATACACACTGGTATACGTCTCATTTCACTATTGCAAACGAACAATGTTTTAATGATTCAATTTCTGATAAATCACCATTGTCACAATGTAAGACAGTAAATTATTTCAGAAAATTATTTGTAATTTTTAGAGCTAGAAAGCAAAATTCAAAGCTCAATAAATTGTTAAGGTCTCAATAATAATCTAAAATGCCCTTAAATTGAGAACACAGTCAATTGGGTATTGTTCAGTACATATACTTGTCCATATATTATCCATATTTAATCTTTGTATCATAACTTGTAAATAACTAAATTTAACTAAAATATAGTTTATATGAAATATAAATTTTTATGTGTTTTGGAGTTTACTAGGTTAATAGGGGTTGTTCATGTAAAATTAATTTCTTATGAGACGGTAAATGGTAGATGTTTAGGTAAGTTAAAGAGGAGGGAAACCCCCAGAGCTTCAGCGATGACAGACATATTACGTCTCTTGCGTACCACCTTTGTTTGCGAAAATTCTCACCTGTTAGTATTTGAATATATCACATCATTGTGATGTTTTAATCCATGTAAGCATATTCCTTATAATTTCTTTATCTTGATGTGAAATGACAAGCTATAATGATATTAGTTAACACGCCAGATATGAACAAATTATTCGAAGCGTTATTAGAAAATTTTGAATCCACCATTTTTGTTTGTCGAATGGGACCAACCAGGACAGTGGGTCATCTCAATACAGATTTACATAATAGATATACATCATTTTTGAACCCTGGGGGTTCTCCTTCTCTTGGTAAGTTAATTTATAATGGTCACATGCTTGGCAGTAAAATGGTCACATGACAGGTTGACAGGATGTGACTCCCTTTGAGAATGACAGACAGGAAAAGACCTTAACCAGCCACCCATGCTCCACCACAAAACAGGTTAAAACTATACAGTGATCTCCCAAGGATTTTTTCTCAGGTGGGTGCAAAATTCTCATTTTCACAATTCAGAATTCGTTTACTGGTATCTGGGTTATCAAAGATTACATTTTTAACAGCAAATGGTGGCCATTTTGATAAATGGCAGCCATTTTTGAGTTATAAAAGATTACAGTTTTTTATGAAAAATGGTGGCCATTTTCAAATTTCTTCTCTAGCAGAGCTCCTTTGTCACTAGGCATCAGTATATAAAATTTGAACCAAATCTGTCCACTGGTATTTGAGTTATCAAAGATTATATTTTTTACGAAAAATGGTGGCCATTTTTTAATTCAGTGGCCATCTTGAAAACCTCTTCTTAAAGCAAAGCTCCTTTGTCCCTAGGCATCAGCATATAAAATTTGAACCAAATCTGTCGACTAGTATTTGATTTGAGTGGCCATCTTGAAAATTTCTTCTCGAGCGGAGGTCCTACACCCAGAAGGCATAAACCATTAAAATTTGAATCAAATCCATCAACTAGTACTGTATTTGAGTTATCGCCTGGCCAGATGAACAAACAAATGGCTTCTCTATATTCCCCTTGAACTTCGTTCAGTGGGACAATAATATAAAGCTTAAAACATGTTTTAGTCCAAGACTATAGAACTTACCTGTCTGTGGATCCAATATCGCAACGTAAGGCCAATCTAAGACTTTATAGAACTGCCTGTACTTTCTCCCCTCTTCACTATCTTGATAAACCTGGAGATAAGTAAACCAACAAATTATTATTAAATAAAGTCAATTATGTAATTCTTACCTAGGGTAGTCCTCCTGCTCTAAACTACCAGTATGTCAAATATTGGTAAACATAATTATCCAAATAAATAATAAAAAACTTAACTTTAAAAAAATTGTTAAATATAATGACAAATTTTCCAGACAGCCGAGCCATGCCAGTGCTTCAAAACTATAAATAATCTTTGAATTATCAACTTCATGCTTTTTGCACTCTAAAGACACAAGCAAAAATAGTCATTTTAAATCTGATAAAGCTGATATAATAGATGTCACCCTTGTATACCACATACCTGCCAGAATATAAAGTGAGTTTCTATAATTGTTTTAACAGCATGATTGTTCCAGATATCCCGATTTAACACCTGGCATGAAAATTCCTGGACATTTTGGATGTTCACCATCAGCCATTTATTGGAACTGCTGCCTTGTTCTCAAGCCTAAATTAAAAAAAAAATTACAAATATATAGAATCAGCACTGTTAAATACATTCAAGTGGTCAGATTAATAGTTGTTTTCATGTATCCAAAAATCATTAACAGATGGAAGGATGAATCGAGTATGTGTGGGCGATTTCAAATTTGCAAAATGTCACCACCTGCCATTTGTTACAGATGCCGCTATGGCTGCCCTGTTGCAGATGTCGAACAAAACCGCCAAGACAAAAGAGTTGGAGACTGTAACAATATGCCACTTAGGGTGGTGACATAGAAAAATCAAGATTTTTCATAAATATCATAGGTAGTCCTACATCAAGCAATTTTGTGGCCCCCTCTTCACACCCCACCCCTAAATGAACTGAAATAGAAATTAACACAGGAGGACTTCACAGAATGGATGGTGATCATAAACAATAATTTTCTTGCCTAAGGTACATTGTATTTTAGTCAACAAGGCATTTAAATGCAAAATGTCACCACCTGCTATTTGTTACAGATGCCAAATGCTACAAAAATATGTCACCACTTCTGGTAAAAATTAAGCTCAGTCTAAAAGTCTCTCTCCATTTTTTCAATTAAGCGCCTCTACAAGACCCCCTCTATTTTTTCTATTAAGCACCTCGAGAAGACCCCCTCCATTTTTTCAATTAACGACTCTAAAAGCCCCCTTCTTTTATCATTCAAGCACCTCTAAAAACACCTCCTTTCTTCAATTAAGCACCTCTACAAGACCATCTCCATTTTTTCAATTAAGCTCCTCTAAAAGACCCCCTCCATTTTTTCAATAAGCGCCTCTAAATTAAGCCGTCAAAGATACTCACTGAATGGAATGATCCTTTGAACATGAGATCAATTGGTGGCCTGAATAAATCTTCCAAAGTTTTCTTCTTTGAGCTATTTAAAAATACAGGATCTGAGCTGCTACCACTGGAACTGGGAGTGACAAAACCTAGAGACTCTTCTTGTTGTCCTGGAAATAATAACAACAGTAACTAACAACAGTAACCATAGCAATAATCTCAGTACAAAATGAATATCCTTGTCCTGGTAACGACAACAGTAACCAGAGCAAGAATCTTAGTATAAAATCAGTGCTTTTGATGCTGTTACTGATAGTGACAAAGCCTAGAGACTATTGTTCTCCTGAAAACAACAACAGTCACCAAGTAACCATGGTTACCATAGCAACGATTGAGATCTAGCCAGCCAATATTCAATGAAATTTTACTATCAGAAAAACATTATACTTAATTTTCTATCTCCTAGTAACTTACATTAATTTCACATTTAAACTCAAATGAAATCCAATGAAAGCCACACTGAGATTGTTAAAGGACGTATATAGAATAGTATTTTTGCATTAGAGGGTTGTCAGAATAACTGATTACTGATTAGGAAACAGTGTAAATGGTAAGATTGTATATAACTCACGAGCCTCAGCTTGGAAGTCTCTAAATCCATCAAAGACAGATTTGGCGATCCGTCTCCTGCCTCTGTTGCCTATAAAACAAAACAGTGAGTTATATCAATCAAGGAAAAATTGTTGTTTGATGATATACACAGGCAATCTCCAAGAGTACCATACAGTACTCTTTTGGCTGTGGTACTGTATGGTATGGTAAAATATGGTACCATTATACTACCATGAACACAGTACGACACAATACTCCAATAGTACCATACGGTACCGTAATTTCAGAGCGCACTGTCTAATCAAATGTTCAAAAATGTGAAATTTTGAGGAGATAGTCCTTTACTTTTTGCACCAAATGACACCAGAAAATACATATATTTACTCACCAAATGAAAATGTGTAATCATCCACTAGCTTTTCAGTTTTCTGTGGAATGGGTGCCCTGACGCCATCAGCCTCAAGAGAACTATAAGCAAAATAACAAATTCTGAACTGATCTCAACTTAGGTTGGAATTTGAAAAAATTTTATAAAAACAATCAACATGAAACACAGGTCAGTCCCAGAATTATGTGTTTACTCGGCATGTTTTATTTTGAATTTCTAGAAATGCCACATAATTCATTTACTAGCACATTATAATCTACTGGTCTCTATAAAAGATAAAGACTTCGATTGAAATTTGAAATAATCTTATAAAGAACAAGGCGGATGAGCAACTCCCCCTGGCCAAAATTTTGATCAAAATCAAGCAGTTTTTCACCATTCTCAGCAATTTTCAAGTGATTTTGAGCCAAAGTCAAATGTGACTCCCCTTGGAATTTTTTGAAATGTGAACCCCCTTAGCAAAAGCTGGCTATCGGCCTGCAAAATCTTTTTCTGATTTCTACAATTAGAGAAAATTATATCATCAAGCCCATTTCAAATCAGAATATTAAAGTTACATAGGTTAGTGTGTGCTTTTGGAATTTAAGTTCTACCCTGAGTTCTACTTACTTATCATCATCCAGCACGATAGGGGACCCTGCTCTTTTCCTAGATTCTGCCCTCTGATTGGTTGAGGCCTGGGGGAGTGCCACTATATCATCATTCTGATTGGTCGATGTTCCATCAACATGCATCCCTATTGCCATCTGAAGGTCATTGTTACAAGCCTCAAGCATGCTAACTGCCACTGCACAACCTTCACCTTAGGTGCGCCAATTAGTGCAGATTGGCCACTTACAACATTTACTCCTTGTATTGTGTAATCATATTGTATATAGTATTTGCATGTGTGAATGAAGATATCTCCTGCAATATGGAGTCCAGACAATTCAGTAGATGAAAGGGGTGGGGTCATTAGAGGTTTTTTAATTGTTATGCCATGTTTTAAGCAAATGATCCTTTTGGCATGACACTGAGGTTCTTTTATGGGGGTTGTTTATTTACTTTTAAAAGATAAATACACTCCCCTCCAAAAGTTTGGCAACCTTTTTACCCCATAGTCTATACCTGAGTATGATAAACATGCATAGGAAAATATACCTTATATTTTTGGCCAAAAGGTATCCATATCCTTTATCTCACCAGACTTCCTCGACCCCCCCCCCCCCCCTTATTTACTGTTTTTATCAGTTTATGTGAATATAATGAACTTGGCTCAATTTTTTCCATATTTTGGGGCAGTGTGTTAGACTGTAGTTCCAGACCAGTGAATCTTATGATTTATATTTGTAAAAAAAATTCTTCAAATTATTTGCATAAAATATGTATAAGTACGTATAAAAATGCATTTCTATACATAATTATGATAATTGATAAATAAATATACATTTGTATATAGTTCTGTACAAATATTTATAATTAAATAAATGAACAGAAAATTGTATATTAGACTTATTATAAAACTAACTTTCAGACTTTTGTTTATTTATTGTACAAATACATGTATTACACTTGGTTCTTTTGAGGTAATTGTTACATAGAAGACATTTTCATTAAAAAAATAATCAATTTTGTTCCATAAAAAAGCTAACTATTCTGCGTTTTGGTTTCAATTGTTTTGTTTGTATAATAATTGTTAGAAATTTCAATGAAACTCCTGTATTCACATATGCTAATTATTCTGCGTTTTGGTTTCAATTGTTTTGTTTGTATAAAAATTGTCAGAAATTTCAATGAAACTCCTGTATTCACATTTGCTAATTATTCTGCGTTTTGGTTTCAATTGTTTTGTTTGTATAATAATTGTCAGAAATTTCAATGAAATTCCTGTATTCCCATTTGCTTGTTTGACAAGCTTTTGGCATTTTGACATTATAACAAAAATATAAAGTATAAGTATTGACATTGTTAAAGGCCCCATGTAAAGTTTAAACCACTTTGGCTTATATTGTAGTTGATAGACTTTTGTTCCAAAATTTGTGAATTTATTTAAAACCAACTTTTAGAGGTCACTCATATCTTCTAATTAGCCAAAATTCATACCAATGCATAGCATTCATCCTCCCATGTTTTTTGCCGAAAAATTAAGAAAATCGGTTGATAAACAAGCGAGAAATGAACTTATCAGTGCATGAAAATGGTTCTGAGAAAAATGCATTTCAAAATTTTAGTTCTCATAGAAACCAATGGTACATTGATATCTAAAACATAATTTATTCTTCTTTTTAACCTGGTTAGACAATCAACATTGTTTTTTTATGAAAGTCTAGCATATTTAGAAAAGATTGCCATCGAAAAAAAAAATTCAATTTTTTTCAAAAAGTTTTTGTTACCTTAGTGACATCACTAATGTTTCAAAATATTTTTGATAAGCTAAAACATTGAAGAGGACCATTAAATATGACATTTTATTATTGAAATAGTGTGTCTTTTGTTCAATCTTTGCATTGGTGTTAAAAAGATAATCTTTTTTGAAATGCATTAAGAAATATTTGATGATTAAGAAATTTCAACTTTTTTGAAAAATGGCGGGAAATTTAAATATTTGAGAAATGAAATGCTCACAACTTTTTTTCAAAAAATCTTTTTAGTTCAGAAATCTCTAAAATCACTTTTTAAGTCCTGACAAATAGTAAATGAATGATAAAAAAATATTTTCAAACTTTAGACTGGGACTTTAAAAATGTATTGACATTATAACACAAGTATTGACATTATTAAAAATGTATTGACATTATAACACAAGTATTGTCAATAAGAGAACATCACAATTCATAAATAAATAATGAAGCATGCATATAATTTTGATGAATTTTGTAACTGGCTTTGCATCATTTACTCACCATGAATATTCAATACTACTTCCCTAAAACCTGATTTTTTGGCATGAGTTTAATTTAATGTATTTTTATTTGTTCCTAATTAAATAAAAATATTTCTTTATCACACCGGAATAGCCTGACACGGGAAAGTCAGATACCGTTGTCATAATAACGGACATAAATGCTTCAACTCTTTGATCACTTGGCCCGTGTTTCATGGAATTTTATCGTCCTTAATTCTGTGCATGTATTAAGCTCTCGTGATGATATATTGTATGAAATCTCAATTTCGATCTTTGGTCGAGAATCGCTACAATATAGCAACTACGATATCGTCAATGACAACATAATTTGAATTTCAAATAATTTACAAGGACAACGGCATGTTAATACAGTGTCCATTGTCCCGTATCTCATTTTGATAGGTTAAACTAAAGGCTTTATTTCAATGGTAGATCATTATTAACTGTACAATGAGTATAAAGACACTTTGATTGATTATTATTCCAAAGGAATTTAGTCTAGGTGCTCTATTAAACATACAGTTCATGAAAATCTAATTGAAGCGACAGACTTTACCGTTGTCAGGCTATTCCCGTGTGTTTATAGGACTTTATACTAATTTACTAAATGTGCCAGTAAAACAACAATTTTTAGACATTCTGTAAAAAACAATTTTTTACATAATAAATGGATGTTTGAACTAATGTTGAGAAAACATGAAAATTCAATGAAAAATTTAATTGCATGATATTTTCCAAATGAGATCTTTAATTTTCTGACATTTAAGTATAGTTCGCATGTCCATATATGGCATATGGATTGACCAACAGCAGAGATGAAAATTTTGACAAAATTTCTACCTTCAACTGATTCCATTTTGATACTCCCTGTTTCATTAAATAGTCACCTACCACCCCTTCATACTACTGGGATTATTATGGATGGACTCTTCCAACATGTTTTTGGGAAAGTTCATTCTAGCGTAGGGGTGTTACACTGTATCACCTTTCTTGTATAACAAGAAAATGCAGCAAACTCCTCGAGTCGAGGTCTCCAAGTAAAAAAAAAATGCCTGACCCTCTCATATATCTGTTGATTATCCCTGTTTATAACTGATTCAAGAGCGTGGCACTGAACAAACCTATATGCCTATTTGTTATTTGTTTAGTTGTTGGTTGGGTAACATGTTAATGACGTCACAAATGATGCGAAGAATCTTTAAACCAATCAGTGAAGTCTATATTAATTGTTTGTTTAGTTGTTGATGTGGCAATACGTGTCTGACGTCACGGGTGATTGCATCATATTCCAGTCACGCCATTTTACGACATTGCATAATTTTAGCTGATTTTGGCTTCATTTCACTTTATTTAAAAGACTTTTAAAATTATATCAATGAGTCAGTATTTTTTCTTATAAATATTAATATTTGAATTTGAGGTCAAAGTCCGAAAATTTGATAAACTGATTGAAATCACATTTTAAAGAGGTGAAGAAGTGAATAATTACAGGAGCAAACGTGATCAATGGTTCGAGGTCTCCCGCAAAGTAGTCGCTACGCTCCTACTTCGCGCTGCCTTCGGCAGAGGAGACCTCGAAAAAACAGCTTCTTGGGGAAATAGTCCGGCTTCTTTGAGTGTGATGTCATAATTGAGTAATGATAAACGTCTTCGTGGAAAGTTTGTTACAAGCTCATATTTTTCATTTGAGTATCCTTTGTGTATGACGTACTGAACCAGCGCCTGAAAATAAAATAAATTCATCTCGTCAAGTCAGCACTGAAGGAGCCTGAATGAAATGAATGATCAATGATTTCACATTAACCCTCATTATATTTTTAGAAAAAATCATGGAAAACCTCATAGATTTTACCATACCGTGCACCAATTCATTTAGGGATTTATTCACAAACTTTCTCAGAAAAATAAATCTTGCAGATTCATTGAATATTCGAGCAGAAATTGTCTACTCCCCCTCCATTCATTATTTCAAATTAACAGAGGTGCTTTAATTGATATAAAATTGACCTCTTAAATGGGCATCCCAAAATTAAGCCTTAGCTACGTTTTTTAGCTAATTTTTTCAAAGTCTAGTGATGTTATTTACCATGAGTTGAGATGTAGCCGGCATAGTTAATTGCTCTTTATGGTTATCTGGAAATCTGAGCACTAAACTGCTACTTTCATCCGATTCATCTCCGAGGTATTCCCGCCATGTCTCCTTTTTCCCGCCATCTTCTCCATTCAGTTGGTTAATATCTGAGTTAGTGTCTTTAGAGGTATTTATTGTTTCCTTTTCAGTATTAGGTTTTTGTTTTAGTGATGACTTGGTCACAGTGGAAGGTGGTTGAGATCTTGAGCTGTAATACATAATGAATGATTAAATTTACATGACTATTGGGAATATGCCCAATTTGAAGGGTGCGTCATAATCATTTTGTGTTTTTTAAAAGTCTTTTTCATCACCTTAATCTGGGCGGGTATATAAATAATATAACAATTTACAATTTCAGTCATAGACAATAGTGAATGATTCGATGTACCAAGTTTTTTGCACATCTGAAATGGAGAGCTTTGAGAGCAGATAAGTATTATATTTAAATTTCATATGTAAACTTAATTTTCCCAAACCAACATGGAGACGGAAGGATGAATTTTTGCCCAAATGGGAGGGATGAGTTTTTGCCCAAAGGGAAACAGGAAACATGAGTCGTAAATGACATTCAATTTTGTACATGATTCAACAATATCCTAAATACTGATCTTTGACTTATCTTCCCGCCTATATAAAGCCTATCAGAACAAAATAATGAAAATGTGGTACTTTTCAAGCGTGACAACAATGGAGTGTCATGTTTATAAGCGTAGCGCCTATTACGCAAAATACGCACGGGCGTACCAAACGAATTTGAAAACAATTAAAAATGTGTTAAAATGCATTGATTTATTTGCGAATTTATTGATGCTTCCTAACGTATCTGTATGTTTAAAAAATTTAATTTTATTTAAATAAAAATATTTCACGGGGGATCATACACCAAGACCCCCCGCGATGCGCGGCCTTCGGCCACGCAATCAGGCATCCCCGAGTGTGCGTTCCAACTCAAAATATAGCCCTACGCCCATGATGTTCTAATTATTTTTTTTTTTTTTTTTTTTTTTTTAATTTTTATATTTCCTTTATTTCATAATACATCATACAAACAGATACAGGGCCTACGCCGAAGCATTATTGGCCCTGTTGAAGTAGTTACAATATAAGTTAAAATAGGTCATAATGTAAAAATGATAGATATAAAACATATTTATGGACATGAAAATAATCTTGAAAACATGAAGACAGGTCAGAGATATATGTATAAATTAATGAATATTGGACTATTTAACTTCCTTGACAATAGAGTGTAAAAACTCGGCTGTTAATTCAATAGCCTTTTTATTTGTAATTGTGTCAAGAGAAGGATCTGCAAAAAGTAGAAAGTCTACCCTGTCCTCCTGTTTTCTATTATTAAAAGAGTTTAAATTAAAGGATGGCAGTCCCCCTAGTTCTCTGTGAAAATTGAGTCTTTGAGTGTTAAAAAGAGGGCAATGGAGCAATAGGTGTTTGGTTGATTCAGTAGAGTGACCACATTTACATTTGGCATTTGGAATATTTTTGAAGTTATGTGTAAAAAGATGCTGCCTAAAAATGAGATCACATCTCGTTTTATTTAAGACAATTTCTTTATCTCTGGATAGGTTTAATCTTGGGGTTGTGAATTCTTTCTTTTTCCCATTCAAAAATGTTCTAATTTTATACTTAAATGAGTTGCGTGAGTGTGCTTGTTTCAGTTCATCAGGTAAATTATCCCATAATTTAATACTGGATAAAGCTGTAAACTTTCTAAGTTTAGCAGATGCTTTGAATGGGATCTTAAAATCATTGCTACGACGAAGTCTTTGGTGGGTTACCTGATTCTTATACTGTTCAAAAACATTTGAAACATATGAAGGCATCTTATAATTATTTACAAAGTCAAACATAAAAACTAGTTTTTTTTCTTTTCTTCGATTGGATAAAGATCTCCATCCAAGACATGCCATCACCTTCTCAGAGTTTGACCCTTGGATGCAACCACTTACAATAAGACCCGCTCTATATTGGACTCTATCTAAACTTGCTAAGAGGTTTAGATTTGCGCTGTCAAAAATAATATTGCCATATTCGAGATGTGGGAGAATGAATGCCATGTAAATTGTCTGTAAGTGTTTTGATCTTACTGAAAATTTGAGTGCTTTTAATGGATTTAACATTTTATTACACCTAGTAATCACTGAGTTAATGTGTTCTTCAAAGCTAAGGTGTTTGTCTAAAATGATGCCTAAATGTTTATGGCTATTTACAAGAGGTATTTGCTCATTATTCATTGTTACTGGAATTTGTTTCTTAACTTTTCGTGTGTGTTTAGATTGAAAGATAACCTCCTTACTCTTAGATGCCTTAAATTTGAGTTTCCATTTAGTGGACCAATTAGCCATTTCATTGATATCTGATTGAATTTTTTGATTTGTTGTTTCAACTGATTCATTCTTTGGTACTGTCAAGAAGATCGAACTATCATCAGCATATAAGAAAAGTTTACAATTATGAACTGAGTCTGCTAAGTCATTAATATATAACAAAAATAATAGGGGGCCAAGAATTGATCCTTGGGGAACCCCACTATTTATTTCATAGGATCTGGAGTCTCGATTTTGAAGATTTTGAGGAATATTTGCACCAGTTTCAGCATTACATGAAATGTCTGAATAAGTATCATTGATCCTTACTTTTAATTTCCTATCTGTTAGATATGAGGTCAATAACTCTATAATATTGTTGCCTAATCCATAAGATTTCATCTTATGGAGTAACAAAAAATGTGGGACTGCGTCAAATGCACCTTCCACGTCTAAAAATATTCCACGGGTTGCTAGGTTAGAGTCAAAATTATCGGCTAACATATTTACAATAGAAAATAGTTGCTTCTGTGTATTATGGCCTGGTAAGAACCCGGACTGATTTTCATAAATGAGGTTCTTCGAGGAAACATGGTCAAAAATTGCTGTATAAATTATTCGTTCAAAAAGCTTTGAGAGATTATTGAGGAGGCAGATTGGCAAATAAATACACTCCCCTTCATAAGTTTAGCAAATAAATACACTCCACTCCATAAGTTTAGCAAATAAATACACTCCACTCCATAAGTTTAGCAAATAAATACACTCCCCTTCATAAGTTTAGCAAATAAATACACTCCACTCCATAAGTTTAGCAAATAAATACACTCCACTCCATAAGTTCAGCAAATAAATACACTCCACTCCATAAGTTTAGCAAATAAATACACTCCCCTTCATAAGTTTAGCAAATAAGTACACTCCCCTTCATAAGATTAGCAAATAAATAAACTCCCCTCCATAAGTTTAGCAAATAAATACACTCCCCTTCATAAGTTTAGCAAATAAATACACTCCCCTCCATAAGTTTAGCAAATAAATACACTCCCCTTCATAAGTTTAGCAAATAAATACACTCCCCTCCATAAGTTTAGCAAATAAATACACTCCCCTTCATAAGTTTAGCAAATAAATACACTCCACTCCATAAGTTTAGCAAATAAATACACTCCACTCCATAAGTTTAGCAAATAAATACACTCCCCTTCATAAGTTTAGCAAATAAATACACTCCACTCCATAAGTTTAGCAAATAAATACACTCCACTCCATAAGTTCAGCAAATAAATACACTCCACTCCATAAGTTTAGCAAATAAATACACTCCCCTTCATAAGTTTAGCAAATAAGTACACTCCCCTTCATAAGATTAGCAAATAAATACACTCCCCTTCATAAGTTTAGCAAATAAATACACTCCACTCCATAAGTTTAGCAAATAAATACACTCCCCTTCATAAGTTTAGCAAATAAATACACTCCCCTTCATAAGTTTAGCAAATAAATACACTCCACTCCATAAGTTTAGCAAATAAATACACTCCCCTCCATAAGTTTAGCAAATAAATACACTCCCCTCCATAAGTTCAGCAAATAAATACACTCCCCTCCATAAGTTAAGCAAATAAATACACTCCCCTCCATAAGTTTAGCAAATAAATACACTCCCCTTCATAAGTTTAGCAAATAAATACACTCCAATCCATAAGTTTAGCAAATAAATTCACTCCCCTCCATAAGTTTAGCAAATAAATACACTCCCCTTCATAAGTTTAGCAAATAAATACACTCCCCTCCATAAGTTTAGCAAATAAATACACTCCCCTTCATAAGTTTAGCAAATAAATACACTCCCCTTCATAAGTTCAGCAAATAAATACACTCCCCTCCATAAGTTTGGCAACAGTGTTTGAATCTTTATTTTGTTCCTCACTTGCCGAATTTCTTTAATTTATGACAAAGATAAATCTGCAAACATAAGCAGGCTTATAATGAGTGGTAAAGCCAGCATACGTTACTGTAGAAGTAATGTTGATTGTGTTTTGTGCCATTTCTCTCCACTATGAATGAACGATAGGTACAACCCCTGTGAGGATAGTATAGAATATAAATATTTGTGTCTTGCTAATTCCAGTAGTACAATGGGGTCTTTGGGGGCCACAGGGACGGGGGAATTGACACTTACACGAAGTCTGAGACTCAGAGAAGCCTTAAAGAAAGACCCTACTCTCCTAGAAGGTATGCGGGAAGCCATAGAAGATATCTTAGATGAACAACTAGAAGAAAAGCATGGAATTAAACCTGTAAGTAATAATTGTTTTGTATTGTATTTTGTTTACCACCATTGAAGGTGAACAATACATGTACCTGATGTAATATCTCATATATGTCCGATCGTAATTTACGCAAATGATCCTGAGAGACAGACTCAGAAACCTCTTGTTGAAGGAGTCCTGTGTTCTTTTATGTGCACTCATACAGGCATACAAGTTCAAACCACAGCCTTTTTAGGAGTCATTGAACACTAAGTCAAACACCTTGAAGTACTTTACGCAACAAGCAAAGTGCCTGAACGAGGGATCGAATCTGGGGCCTATGCATAATTGGAAGTCACTACCACTGAGCTATACAGGTGCAGTCTCTTAAATGGAAACAAAAAGTGAATGATTTCATTTACCTTATATTATCAGCCTCCAAAAATATTAATGTGTATGGTTGGACACATTCGATATTTTATAAATTAGTAACTTCTTGATGGAGTATGTTAAACATACAATTGAATGTTGATTGTATCTGTACAATTATGAAATGAAATAAAACTACAGGTTGTCAAATAAATATGTTCTACCCCTTATTTTCAAGAGAATTAACTTTTGTGCATAAAAAGCATCTAGTTGAGCTAGTCATCTGAAACTTCTTATGGAGTTGCTCCTTGAAGCCTAGTTCTGATGTGCTAAAGAACTAGTCAGATAACATGTAGAGAAAAAAGTGATGCAACATTATGTGGATATTAAATCTAAGGAGGAGAAAACATTTTTATTTGACACCCTGTATATTTGAAAATAACTTCCTCACTCAATGTCGGGTCTATTCTGATTGGGTAATATCTAGTGCACCTGAAACACTATATCAGGAATTAGGAAATCAGTAACACCTTTTTGATGTTAGTTGTTTTTATTTGCATTATAAATTATAAAAAAAAATTGCACAAATTGTGGAATTCAGAAACTTTTGATAGATACTTATCTGAATGAGACAGACCCATTCATTTATAACATCATATTATGCTACAATACGCTCTCTATTTGGAATACCTATGGACTCAGGCTCTTATCCAGCATTTGCCAGGGGGGGGGGGGGGGGGCTCAGTCCAGGGGGCTTTGAAGCCTAAAATCACTTAAAAGTGCTCATATGGTACAAAACTGCATGATTTTGGAAGGATTTTTGGCACTGGGGTTCGCCACCGACTACAAAAGTGTTACATTATTGAATATATGTGCTTAAATAGGGTGCTGAAGGTATAACAACAAAGGTCTTCAACAACAAGATGTCCACTCTGAAACAACAGAGACAACAAACACATGCAAAGGTATGTTATTCAGCTCATTCCTTAAAAGGTCATTCAAAATTAATTACCTTATATGTTAAACGTTTAAAAAAATATTATATTTATATATGGGTTGTATTAGGATTGAAATATACGAGAGTGACTGTCCAAATTGTGCGTCCTCTAAGTTCACAATCACTTATTATTTCACCATTAGAAGTGGTGACATTTTGTTATAGTCTCCAACTTTTGAGTGGATGGGGATTGGTGTTTGGCATTTGGTGGTTGGGGTCTGTAACAGGTATCTGTAACAAATGGCTGGTGGTGACATTTTGCATGTTTATACCTTGTAATGTAAGTCACAGGATACAGACATATAAAAATGATATCTAGTTTATTTAAACATCTAGTTTTACAAAAACAAATTACATTAAGCTAATGTCTCTTTTTAAGAGTTGCATACTAAAATTATCCCATAAATCATCTGAATGGCCGTTTGTCTATGATACCATAGCCAATGTCATATATTTACTGTTAACATGTTGAATATATTGCCCTATAATGGTTACAAATAGTCGAATCAAGCTTAATGGAGAATGAATTTATACAACAAAATTTATTTACTGTTAACATGTTGAATATAAAATGACTTAACATAAGTTAAATTTTGGGAATATTTTATATTTTCAGAAATATCCAAAGTTCTTTGACATTCGCCAGCAGATGCTCAGAGAAGTTGATCGTATTGCTAAAGAGAGAATGCAAGCGAAGAAATCTAGTCCAAAACCAGGTAAGAAAAAGCGAATCAGATCTATAGGGAGTGAAGAAATTGCAAGCTACAAGTTCAGTATTGACCTAGTAATGTAGTCCATCAAGATTCAAAGTTTGAAAATTGGAAAAATGTATAAATTCTCCCAAATAATAAATGTGATACCCACATTTATTGAGAAATGCTACATTGTTTTTTATTTTCCTGAATTTCAATATGAACTTTGGGGATTTTGAGAGAATAGATATGAAAAGGAGTTGATATGAGACAACAATATGCTACAATTGAAACAGTTTTTGTTACAATTACTCCCTAGATCTGATACCCCCCCCCCCTTAAAGTTTAAACACTCTAAATTGTATGGAGATTAAAACATTGATATAAATCATTATTAAAAGTTTCTAAATACAGAACCATCAACGATGACCTTTTAAGTTTAGTTTTACATGTTAAATTTTGAAAACAAATTGTCACCGATCTACTGTTCTAGGCCCCAGCCCAACAAAAGAGAGAGCAGTACCCCAGTCACAGGTGAAGAAATCAAAGCAGAACCGTGCCCCACCCCCCAGGCCTGCCCCCAGGACCCCCAGTCCTAGTAAAGAGAGGGGACCAGCCATGTCCCAGACAATGTCTACTACAGGGTATGTGTATTGTTTGACTCTGATTGCCTGTAATTTACAATTCATGGCGACATTGAGGATTAATCTCCAAAATTTCAGTCAAAGAAGAAGCTGAAAAATATATTTCTGGAAATTCTGGTGAAGCAATTAAAAGTAGTAACATATCAGGGATGTTGCCGGGTTTTTACATTAGTAGGGCCAAAAGTGATGATTGAGGCAAACTTTAGTTATAATCTCCAAAGTTTGAAAAGTCTGAAAATTATATCATACCTCTATCTCTGGCTACATCCATAGCAGAATCGTGACCCACTCCCCCCCAGGCCTGCCCTAAGGACCCCCAGTCCTAGTAAAGAGAGGGGACCAGGCATGTCCCAGACTTTGTCTACTACGTATACAACACCTATTGTTATTGCCCCCATTTTTTTGCTGTATACAGTTCTAAAATTTTAATGTGAAATTTGACAACTATTTACATGTGCATTGTAGATCTGCTAGTCAGTGGGACTCAGGCGAGGATAACTCCGAGGATTACACTCACTCCAGTGAGGATGAAGATCCCCCAGACTACCACTCATTACCTAGCAACAAACACAACAACAAAAATACTCCAACACCTAATTCCCAGACAAAACCTGTGTCAAAATCAACTCCAAAATCACCTAAACCAACAATGCCGAAGAAATCATCGGAAACTAGTTTTACAGGATTCGGTCGAGGGACGGCGGCTGTTCAGTTTGAAGATGAGGAGGATGGTGAGGAATCAGAGTGGGATTCCGATGCAAGGTGAGTAAAGATTATACCTATTATTGTATAAGTGTATAGGATTAGAAAAATAACTATTTTTTGTATCAGCCTCAGAATCAATTATCCTCTCCTGGTTAAATATGTTATTTTTTGTCTTTATAACAAAATGAATGAACTTCCGTCAGGGGAATTTTTTATTTTCATCATCAGACAAAAGCCAGTGAGAATAGTAATTCTCAATAAATCCTGAACCTTTTTGATGAACCCTGGGAACTAGGGCACATTGGCAAAGTATGATCCTAAGTTTTTCAGTGTAGCTGGAATTTAGAAATATAACTTTTTCAAGGGTCACAACATAGAGTCTTTGATCAGATTAGATACTTTATATAATATAACACAATTAATGGGCCAGTTGCTCGATAAATGGTTATATACAGGGCAGTAGTAGTTTTGGTCAAGCTAGATACCTTTAAAAAACTGACAAAAGTAACTAAACAGGGCTCTCACCAGGAAATATTTAGGGTGTGGTGCTAACATCTTCAGAATAACCATTCAATTGTGATGAATCATATTTATGTTATGTTTTATCCTTTTTACATGCTATTATTGTATATTCTGATAAGTTTAGACTATGGAAACAATCATGATTTTCCAGTAAAGTGTGGTGGGAGCTAAATAGAGTGTGGTGCTGCGCCACAGTCCAAAAGCCTGGTGAGAGCCCTGCTAAATATTTCCAGTTGGATTAATGAAAATATTCCTTGGCATACAATAAGATGATCTTGTAGACATGCAGATTGTGCTTTAACCTATGATCATTAACGAAGCAAATCAAGCTAACATAATTGTCAATTTTGGATGAATGTTCTTTGGTTAGAATTTCCAATGGTGCAAACAGTGGCATTCTTATATTTTATTCTTGAAAACATAAAAAAGTAACATATTTTCGCTAATTTATACTAAAGGAAGTACATAGTATCAGATGATAGCAAGCAACCTAAAACTTGTCCTGTCTATTTTCTTAAAATCCCCAAATAAAAGTGCAAAGTTTATATGAGGAAAACTAAAGATTTTAACGATAGTGGATTATTTCTGTATAAATGTGACTACCATATCAATTATTTTAGAGAATTTAAACATTTTCCCCTATTTTTTACTCTGAGTCTGAAATGACTTCATTTTATAACATACACATGTATACTCTAGGGGCGAGGAGAAAAATTCTCAATAAATGGTGTATAGTTGGTTTGGCACCATTTTCAGTTAGGGGAGAGTCTTGGATGAAACTTCCACCTAGGTGATAGCTTCGCAGAGTGGTAGGAAGTTCTTTTTTTTGAGGAGTTAGCCCCCCACCCCCCAAAAACACCCCACCCTGGGGAAAAAATTGTTCACACTAAACAACCTTAGATATTTTGATGTTTGTAAGTGACATGCATAGATATTATATATATGAATCATTTGCAATATAATTGATGCTGATTACTCCTAAAGAATATGAATATTAGTACAAAGTGTGTACCCCAGGGGGCAAATTCGTGACTCATTTTCTTACTATTTTGATTCTTACTTTTCAATTAGACACTGTAAGAGATTGAGAAAATTCATGTGAAGTGCCCAATAGCAGGGTTAGTAATCCTGAAAGATGCAAAGCCATGGAAAATGTAGGAGCTGAGAAAAAAATTGTTGATTTTTCGAAAAATTTGACATTTTTGACAGCTGGATTTTGTGTATGACTATAGCTGACCCCTATGGTTTCTAGATCTATCCCTCTATGATGATATTTATGGTTTTATAGTGTGGAACTAAGATGTAAAACATAATTTAGATGGGTTTTAAGGAAGTTAAAGGTTTTAAACAAGTCCAAAATTTGAAATATTGTAAATATAAGGTTTCAAATTTACGAATTCCAGGTATAGCCATGGCTGACCCCTATAGTTTCTAGATCCATCCCTCTTTGATGATATTTATGCTTTTATGGTGTGAAACTAAGATGTAAAAATAATTTAGATGGGTTTTAAGGAAGTTATAGGTCTTAATCACCTCCAAAATTTGAAAAATTGGAAATATAAGGTTTCAAATTTACGGATTCCAGGTATAGCCATGGCTGACACCTATAGTTTCTAGATCTATCCCTCTTTGATGATATGTATGGCTTTGTAGTATGGAACTAAAGATGTAAAACATAATTAAGATGGGTTTTAAGGAAGTTAAAGATTTTAAACAAGTTCAGAATTTGAAAACCTGTAAATATAAGGTTTCAAATTTACGAATGTTAGGTATAGCCATGGATGACCCTTATGGCTGTTTCATCCATACCTCTATGATGAAACATATCATTTTAGAGTGTGAAACTAAGATGAAAAACATACTTAAGATGAATTTTAAGGAACTTTAAGAATTTAAACAAGTGCAATATTTGAAAAATTTAGAAATATCAGGTCTCAAAGGAGCACGGAAAGTATCGCAACAGATTTCAGACAGTCATGTGTTGGATTTTGTCTGTTTACTGAGGATTTAAGCAGGTGCATATGTTAGGCCATTGTATTACCTACAGGAAAAGAACTCTTAGAGATGATAAAATAGTTTGGACTTTGAGACAGCAAAGGTGAAAACAATCCACCCACATGTTTTTCCGGAAATGTTATCCTGATTTTTATCCCCTTTCACCCCTGCTTTTTCAATTTTTGTTGTATCAATATGTTGCATTTTGAGACATAGTTAACCCAGCAAAAGGAATAATAAATTTCTTTTAAATAAAGTGGAAAACAACATTTTCCTGTTATTTTCCGATAGGGAAAACTCATGTGATCCGTTGCTTTCAACTTAATTTTGGTCACCCATATTTGATATCTTTAAAACCCCTGATAGAGTGCATTATTCCTTGAAAGGGGTTAACTGTATGTCAAAACACAACATATTGATGCATGTGGGTGGGTTGTTTGCACCTTCCCTGTCTCAAAATATAAATTATTTTATCATCTCTATGAGTGCTTTTCCTGGAGGAAATGCATTGGCCTAACATATGCACCTCCTCAAATCCTCAGAAAATAGCCAAAATCCAACATATGACTGTCCGAAATCTGTTGCGATACTTTCAGTCCTCCTTTACGATTTCAGGTATAGCCTTGGATGTCCCTATTGTTGAATGTATGACTTTTAAGCTTAGAAATTAGATGTTGAAAATATTGTGGTCAGGTTTGATCCATGTTACAAGTATTGTTAAAATAAAAATAATTAGAGTTGAAGACCTTACCCTAGAGTTCCTAAGGGGGTGAGAGGTTAATAAATCCCCCCCCCACCCATAAAGTGTAACTGCTCCTAGGGATATCGTAAACATTGTATTTATTGATTGATTAATTGGATTATAACTAATTAATTATTATTTGATGATATTTATTATGTGATATAGCATTTTTACTTTTTCACATCAACATGTTCGATGTAATGTTCTACATTGTCAATATACGTAAAGACATGGTTAATTGATTTCTCTATATTTTGTTATACCCCTACCGTTATTAAGCAATAATCATCTCTTAATGCAAAATGTTATTATAAATTATCAAAAAGTTATAATCACTACACTCCCAATAAAACAACTTGTCATCAGGCAACAGTAATTATTTGGGAAAATAAGGATTATAAGGATCATACCCCCCAGGCCTAGAAACTCCCATTAGTGCAATGAGATTAGAAACTCCTGGGTAAAAGGGTCTTGTCACACTAAAATCTTCATGTAGATCAAAAATGGTGATATATAAATGATCAATATGTTTCAAACAAACAGACATTGTAGAAAATGTTTACATACTGAGTTTGCAGATGACATTTGCTAGCATAGTTGAAGAATTTTTTACATTTATTGAAAAGATAGTCCTAAAATTAGAATATCAGTGTCATTTGATCCCTTACACCATTTTCCTTTATATATTTGTCATTTTCAGAAATGACTCCCTGATATTTTGCACATTTGTGCATCATTCAATTTCCTACTAGCCTACTTTATTTCATGACCATCAGATTGATAGTCACAATGTTACAGCACTTTCAAGAACATACCACAGTGGCCACTATTGCGCTGTTGGGCCACCTGCACTCGTCGTCCAAAATGTCCCTACCAGTGGGGATATGGCAGAGAAAAAGTGTATGAGAATGACCTCAGGACAATTGCAGACCTCAAAAGTGAGATCATCTGTATCATCCAGGTCATACCTAATGAGGAATGCATTCAGGTCATTGACATCTGTGCAGGTTTGCCTACAACGCGATGATGGCCAAACTTGAAGCATGTTTTTCAAAGTGCTGTAAAATTGTGACTACCAGTCTGATGGTCATGAAATTTTGTAGGGTGGTAGGAAATGGAATGATGTACTAATATTTGAAATATCAGGGAGTAATTTTTTAAAATGACAAAGAAATTAGTAAAATGCAGGGTTTCCATTTTTTGACCACCCTGTATTTGAGTTCTCTCCAATAGTTCCACTTAAAACAATCTTGACATTTGGCACACTTTTAGAATGCTGCTTATTGAAATTCTTTGCAATCTTTGAAAATTTGTCTTATATTACTTGGCCAAAAGGTATTCATATTTTTAGGTAATGGTGTAATTTCTTCTTTGGATTAAAGTTCAATAGGGGAAGCATCCATTCTTCGCATTCTTTCAGAATCCTTTACTGATGGAGACTACTAGGAGTCAAATATGAAATCTATTCTTTGGGCTCCTTTACTAGATTTGATCTATAAATAGCATCATAGGGAATAGCATGCCAAGTGCTTGTATTTGAATTCATGTGGATTACTCATTTGGTAGACATCTTTATCAAATGTTAAAGTGTTGTTGATTTTTAAGTTGTACAAGCACAGTGTCATGGGTGCTTACTTTCCTGACATAGTATTAACATTGTGGTAAAAATTATCAAAGGCACCTAGTACAGTAGTTCTAGTTCGTCATCTTGTATAAATGATATATATCCTGTATATCCCAACATCTGACTATTGTGAACACCTACCAATCATCCCAACACCTGACTAATCTGAACACCAACCAATCTGAACACTTTTCCCAGTCCAATTTTCCCTCCCATTGACTCCTATGTTTAATAATTGAAATCTGAACAACTCTTAATTCGAACAGTGAACACTCATATTTGAAAAATTAACCTGTTTAACTTGAACTCTTTTTACCAAATATCACATATTTCTTACAAAATTGATCAAATATTGTCAGTTTAACACCGAATTGTTATGATATCAAAACTTTTGAATTGGATTTTGGATGCTATTAAGCTTTTTATGTGGTCATTATTTATATTATTAATATTTATTGATATTTTTCATTGAGAATACATTCATATTTCTTCAAAATCCAGAATATTGCAGATTTAAAAACCTCAAAATTCAAACAGTTCTAATTAGAACGCTTTTAGCTGGTCCAAATAGCATTCAGATTAGAGAGATTTTACTGTAGTTCATGACTTTTCACTCCATTTATATGCAGCAGACTAATTGTTACAACAGGTATATATTCTTTACCTGGTCTCTAAGCTATGATATCATAGTTGACACTATTATGCTCATAAACTTCGATTATCTGGGCTCATTCAAGGCTGAACCTGAATAACGTGAATTTGAGACCTGATATTTCTCAATTTTTCAAATTTTTCACTTGTTTAAAACCTTAAACTTCCTTAAAACTCATCTTAGGTATCTTTCACATTTTAGTTAAACACTCTAAAACTATATATTTCATCACTGAGGTATAGATGTGAAAACCATATCATCTTTGGCTATACCTGAAATTCATAAATTTGAAACCTAACATTTACAATTCTTCACCGTAAACTTCCTTAAAATGCATTTTGGATATGTTAAATCTTAGTGCCACACTCTAAAACTGTATATTTAATCATAGAGGTATGGATGGAAAAACCATAAGGGTCAGCCATGGCTATACCTGAAATTCGTAAATTTGAAACCTTATATTTACAATTTTTCAAATTTTGGAGTTGTTAAAAACCTTAAACTTCCTTAAAACCCATCTAAATTATGTTTTACATATTAGTTCCACACAACAAAACCATAAATATCATCATAGAGGGATGGATCTAGAAACTATAGGGGTCAGCCATGGCTATACCTGGAATTCGTAAATTTGAAACCTTATACAGTAAAACCTGTCTAATCCGAACACCCATGGGACCAGCTAAAAGCGTTCAAATTGGCAGGTGTTCAAATTTCGAGGATTTTGTTGGTCGGGGGGGGGTTTTCATTGTTCAGTGCACTATATTGAACGCTTAATACTAAGTCAGAAAACAATACATGTTGTTGATGAGTTAATTCTACAATAGACCTATAGCCTATATGCTATGTTTTATTTATATTTTGAACAATTTCATCATTTTAGTAAAAATAACTTATATTTTGGCAAAAACTTTGTAGTACACTGTAAAAGTATATGATAGTCTCGTACGAAATCTTATGCTTATCAAATGGCTTATCCCATATTATGGTTATATAGCACTGCTTTACTTTTGCTTGAAAAAGTCCTTCATTGTTGTTTGTTTCTTGGCACTTTTAGCATTAGCAATATTTGAGTAGATATCCTCTTCAAGTAAAAATAATTTTTCATGAGTGTTCATTCGAGATGATGTATAATCCTTCAAAATATCAAGGGCATTCAGGATGTCAGATGTATGCGAATATTACGAAGTTGGATTTTTTCTCCTTCTCATGATATAATCGTGTCTGCAAATGGCGTCTGTGTTGTCTTTGTGATTATAAAACATTTACTGATTGAATCTTAGCTATCATAACAGACCCATGGGATATAAAACAGTTAAGACCTGTTCATAATCCAAATCAAAAACATCCAGTTAATTTACAATAAGGATAAACCAATTATCTCCCAGACTCTCACCTTTCTCTTAATCCAAATCAAAAACATCCAGGTAATTTCAAATAATTATAAATCAATTATCTTCTTGATTCACACCTTTCTCTTAATCCAAAAATAAAACATTCAGTTCTTTTCTAATAGGATAAACCAATTAACTCCTGTATTCACACCTTTCCAAAACATCCTGTTGTTTTCCACAAATTAGGGATGTCACTGAGACTAAATAAGTTAATTAGGACGATTGGTTCTTTGATTGCATTTGTATATATGTAGATAAATAACAACTATAACACTGACTCAATATGTGGCTTTAATTGAAATGTCCAGACATTTGATTTCTGATAAAAATGTTCAGATTAGACAGGTCACTTTTTCAAATCTGGTTGTTCACTGTTCAAATTAGGAGGTGTTCAGATTTCAAGGTTTTTTTAACATGGGAGTCAATGGGAGGAAAAAATGGGACCGAAAAAAAGTGTTCAAATTGGAAGGTGTTCGGATTAGCCAGGTGTTCAGATATACAGGTTTTACTGTATTTACAATATTTCAAATTTTGGACTTGTTTAAAACCTTTAATTTCCTTAAAACCCATCTAAATTATGTTTTACATCTTAGTTCCACACTATAAAACCATAAATATCATCATAGAGGGATGGATCTAGAAACTATAGGGGTCAGCTATAGTCATACACAAATTCCAACTGTCAAAAATGTCAAATTTTTCGAAAAATCTACAATTTTTTTCTCAGCTCCTACCTTTTCAATGGCTTTGCATATTTCAGGGTTACTAACTCTGCCATTGGGCACTTCACATGAATTTTTTCAACCTCTTACAGTGTCAAATTGAAAAGTTAGGATCAAAATAGTAACAAAATGGGTCACGAATTTGCCCCCTGGGATACACACTTTGTACTAATATTCAATTTTCTTTGGAGAAATCAGCATCAATTATACTGCAAATGATTGATATATATAATATCTATGTATGTCACTTACAAAAATCAAAATATCTAAGGTTATTTAGTGTGAACAATTTTTTTCCCCGGGGTGGGGTGTTTTTGGGGGGTAGGGGGCGAAGTCTTCAAAAAAAGAACTTCCTACCACTCTGTGAAGCTATCACCTAGGTGGAAGTTTCATCCAAGACTCTCCCCTAACTGAAAATGGTGCCAAACCAACTATACACCATTTATTGAGAATTTTCCTTCTCGCCCCTAGAGTAGTAGCAGACTTTTGGAATTGGAGATGTTATATTTTTGATCATAAGGAATATAAAGGCTATAGGTCAGATGTACATGTATATTATGCTCCTTGAAATTTTGTTACCCCTTATAATGTTTTCGGCCAATGTGTTACATACATGAATAGAGCACCTAGATTTAACCAAAAGTGAACCTATAGTGAACCTACCAATTACACTTTATTGTAATGATGAATTGATGTTGCACCAAATTCCTTATTGCATTTTACATGAATCATTTTCATCTTTTTGTTAAGATCCTCTTTTCCATGATCACACAGTCCTAGTTTATTGGTAGTCGACAACCTATTTGAACATTCATATTGATTTGTCGAAAAATAACTTGAACACTTGAGTGATGGGACTTGATCTAGCTCTCTTGTTTTCCTTTTTAAGAGAATAGCCCCATCATCAAATGGTTTTGATGTTGCACAGATTGTAAATTCCAACATAGCTAATTTCTTCCTCATTATTTCCATAAGATGATTCTGCTGTAACCGTGGAAACCATGGATGTGCTTCTAGGGTTGTAAACATTGGTTCAGAGATCAGAAAGTCTAGATTGTCCTTTTTGACATCTTCAAATTCATATTCATTTGCTCGAATAAAGTTCTCCAGGCTTGGCTTTTCAGCAGATAGGTATTTTTTGCATTTTTTCATCAGCTTGTCAACCTGGTATTCATCACTCAGGCGTAATAAAACATCAATATTTGCCTCTGAAAGTAAAATACAATTGAATTATAATTTCTAGATTTTATCGTAAATAGCATACATAACTATTATTATAATAAGAATTATTTTGGAATTAAGCATATAGGTTTTATTTTGAAGAATATTTTTAACTTTTTGGTCTATTCCATTTTTTAAAGCATCATCATCCAATGGTAATATCAAAGTCAAAGTGAAGGGTGGACAGGTAGGCCAGATATTGGAGACTTTAAGCTGGCAATGTTTTTCACAACGTTACTGCGAATGCAAATATTTCTGAAAATTTTCTAAATTTTTTCACTTAATTTTCTTGTTTTTTATACACTTAATCAAAACATTCTTCTCACAAATCTTTTCTAGGCACATAAGTACACTCTTTGTGCAAAACTGGAAGATATAGACAATGTGGGGAATAAGGAGTGATTCTCGTTTGAAAAATAACATGTGATTCAATTGAGGAATGCAGAAAATTTCCCATCATGCACCCTAACCTTAAATTCCAACATTGTATTTTTGCATTCATGTAGAGAACTTCTTATGACCAGAGGTCAAACAAAATAAAAAAATCAAATGTACAGTTTAAGACAGCACATTCAAGGAACTATAACAAGGAAAACAGAAAAACTATATAACATGAGTCACATAAACCATAATGATTCTTTACCAGTAATATCTATCCACGTAAGGGGATGTATGGCTTCCATGAAGCAAACCAGGTCCTCTGTAGTTTTTCCTGGTAGCGGAATTTCTGTTTTTGTCTTTTCCAGGAAGTCTGAGTTGAACATAGTTTTAAAAACTGGTGATGCAATTTCTAAAACAGATTTTGAAGCATATACCCTTTCATCAGTATCACTTATAAGGATTATATCTCCACCTTCCCAAGGCTGGCAGAAGGAGCTCTTAAAATCTTCTCTTTTGCTCTCCATTTTTTATAGTTTCTTTCTAAAAATTCAATATCTGTTTTATAAACCTTTATGCTGATCGTTCAGTCAGTTTGTGGTTTAAAAGTGCAATGTCACCTTGCACTGATTAGAGAAAATTCTATGTATTCATGTGCAAACAAGCATCTATTTGACATATAAAAAGCTTTATAAATCTCAGGCTAGATTAATTGAAAAACTTGAGTTGATAGATTTTGATTTATTTTCTTTCAAGTCATGCTCTATCCCAGAATGCCACACTGCAGGAAATGTAGACCTGTCATGTTTTACTGAGGGATCGATCATTACATTTCCTATATTTTAATAGGCTAAGAGATTTGTACATTCAGAATTTTTACAAAGACCCCCCCCCCCCCCACAAAAGTGGTGTCTTTGTTCCTTATTCCAGGCAAACACCAGTGGATCGGTCACATGACCTAAAGACCACCTTTATTACCTTATATGGCAAATTGTCAAGGGAACTACCAAGGTGTCGATTACGGATCGATTGTGTTTCCAAGTAATGTTGTCATGTGACAGAATATGTTACGTATTCTCGTGACTTTTGATGAAGTTATTCAGATAATAAGTTTAACAGAACAATATATTTGTGGGCGATAATACTACAAACGTTACACATTTATTCTGCGCATGCGTATAGCAATTATAGTTATGAAAGTGTTACACTGAACGATAACAGTTCTGACAATACATATACAATGAGTACTCCTTCCTTAATTTAATGGTCAACATAAATAAAAAAACTTGTCAGACTTCAGAGAGAAAAACTTTCATCATGATGTATAGATGTCTCTAGTGCAGAAGTTCAACTATTTCAATGTTTACAAATAACTCAACTTGATCAGCTGTTTGTAGCTTCATATATATAGGAAGAGTAAAATGTCAGGCCTGTACGAGCCCCCCCCCCCTGATATCTCCTAAAAAAAATGTGGACCTACCTTTTTGCTTCCTTGAAGAAAAACTTGCTCTTCCCCAAATTCACTGGGCAATTAAGATTAAAAAACTGTGCATTGTTTTTCGAATTTGGGCATTATTTTTCAAAATTTGGCCCAATTTTTTCGCACACATATTTGTGCCCCTTTCCCACCCTTAGTATACGCAGCTAACGAAAATTGACCGGCACGGGTCAAAAGCTGGACCGGCACGGGTTAACGGTTTTATTTGAATTTAAAACA